ACCATACCTATTGGTGATGAGCATGCAGAAAAATTGCATTTAAATAAACAACTGGAAAACAAGCTGGTAACATCTGTAAAAATTACAAATATAACTGACGTTTAATCTAGTGCTCTTGGGAATCTATTCCCTGGGAAATACTCATGGGCACCAAAAACAAAGTGAATGATCATTAGTAGTGTGGTAGTCGCAAAACATATTCCTGTCCTTCTGGAAATATGCTAACAGTAAAAGTCTTTGTTCCTTTGAAGTTAGAAGTGTCTACTGACTTGTTTATGCCAATGTAGTGGATGCAATGTGCCACCTCTGGGTAGAGCTGTTTTTTAAATTTTTATTTATTCTTTATGATTATCTAAAAGCCAGAGGTAAACAGAGGGACAGAGAGGGAGCTCTAACCCAGTGGTTCACTCGAGTACCAGTCATATCCAGTGCTGGCCAGGACGAAACCAGAAGACTGGAACTCCATTCAAGGTCTCTCAGTGGGTGGTAGGGACTCAACCACTTGAGTTACCATCTTCTGCCTCCAGGATGCACATCAGTAGGAAACTAGGTAGAAGTGGAGCTTGGACTTGAACCTGGGCAAGGGTCCCAAGTGGAGTGTTTATTGCTGGGCCAAATGGCCGCCCCTGGGTGGAAGCTTTGAGTCTATGTGCTACTCAGCAGTTTCCCTCCCACCTCTGGAATGGTATGGAGCTCATATATCACTGTGCAGCTTCACCAGTCTGGGTAGCTGAGTAACTTAGGAGCAAACCTCCCCTACTATCCTCTTCTGAACATGCAGCATGACCAAAGAAAGGAATTGGGGGAAGGCAAGTCCTGAGATTTTGGAATTGTTACTATTGTGTAACAAGCCTAGTGAGACTGCTGGAGCAAGAAAATGGCTAAATAAATTACAGTCCATCATAAGAGGAACTTTGACTTTGATTACACCAGATGGCCTGGATTGATTTCCACAAGATATTGCTGAGAGACAAAAGAAAGGTTCTGAAAAGCATTTATATAATTATCCTAGTTTTTATAAGAAAAACAGCAAATACATCTTTATACATATATTACTATATAGACAGAGATGTGTACAAGTGATTGTGAATACGGGGGAAAATATGAAAGAACACATAAAGAGTTTCTAAAATATAAAGAAAAATCCAGATTGTAACAATTTTAAAAAGCAGCTTTTATGGTGTGATCACATGCCTCAATTATTCATATTTAGTTGTAATTACAAGGAAAAAGTTGGATAGGAGCAAATAATTTCATACAGAATTTCATTGAATCTAGATGCTTTTATGCTCAGTGCATCAAGAGGTTTTCAACACCTGGCTGGGAATGCTACTACAAAGACACACATCAGTGGTGCTCAAAGTGCTGTCTCGCTTGGGAATTTTGGTAGAGATTTGAATTTGCAGGCCTCATTGCAGACTTCTTGAATCAAATTCTAGAAGAGGGCTTAGCAATCTATGTTTTATCAAGCCTTCCTGGTGGTTTCTGATGCAAACTCAAATTTCCTTACTTCATAACAAAATAACCTTATTTCAGAAGTTGAAATGTGGAAAAAAATGTTCATCTTGGAAATAAGGTAACTTATTAGATAACTTAATAATTTGCAAATTCTTTCCTTATTTTTAATCTAAATTCCCAATGATGAAATGTGATTGGGCTATCTTATTTGCTTTTCATCTTCTAAATCATTTTAAACTTTGAGGTCAGGTGTGCACCCTAAATTAAATTAACTTCGACAGGAGGATGGGATGGGAAACAGCAATAGCTATATAGTACAGGTGCTTTAGGTGGTTTCCTTAACAAGCATTTCTGGAAATGTTGCCTGACTAGGCCAAACAGAACAAAATATTTTAAGTTTAAACTGATAAAAGTACTTTTCCTGTGAAGACAAAGTAATGTTGAGATTTTATTCTCATTGCTTTCTGTATGTATATATTTTTAAAAATAAAACTTTAAAATTTTTCAACGCTGTTTTTCTTTTGTAGTGTTTTTATAATCATGCTTTAAAAATTATGTCCATTTTTCAGCTTTATACATTTAAGTATTTTTTTTTTTTTTTTTTTTTTTTTATGAAAAAGGATTATCAAAGCTGTGACTGAGACAAAAGTCAACACCTTTCTGTTCTTGTTGCATCTTGCTAGTACTTGATCTCTGCCGCCCACATGGAAGACCTGGATTGAGTTCCAGACTCCTGTGTTAGGCCTGGCCCAGCCTTGGCTGTTGCACACATTTGGAGAGTGAACCAGCAGATGGTAGATTTCTGTCTCTCTGCCTTTCAAATAAATTAATTAAAAAATAAAATTCTATTTTAAAAATTATCAAAAATAACATAATCCAACAACCCCCTATATGCCCAGTTTCAATAAACAAGAATCTGCCACATCGTATCTCTACAAAAATATGGACATCTTATTTTTCTTTTATCTACATTTTGTTAACCTAGTCTGTAGCGTGAGATTATGAATTCAAAGTCCAGCCTTGCTGGAAAAACTATTTCTTTGGCCCGATTTTGTCCTGTAACTTGGGAGTAAAAACAGCTTATACTTCGTAAGGTCATTTTAAGGAATAAATGAATGTTGAGACCAACATCCGGCCTATAAATTCTTAACAAATGAGGCCGCTATCATTTAGGAAAAATCATACACCTTCTTGAGGGCCTTTGCATGGCCTACAGGTGTTTGTCTCTTTCCCTCTCAGACTTTGTTACGCCTACCGGTAGTTCAAATATTTCACCTTCAGGGAAGATTTCCCTAACCTTCCCAGATTAGGATATATACCCTATGCTTTTTCATCATGGTATTTACTTGAAACTATTAATTTGTGAGACTGATTAAGAAACATCTTTCCCAGTATACTATCAAGAAGTTTCATGAGAGGACATGTTACCTGTTTTGCTCTGTTTTATCCTCAGTACACAGTAGATACTCCAAGCATTAAACACTTAATATTTTAATCTATTTTTTGTAAGATCCTCTACCGCCACCATGTATATAATGTAATAAATTCTATAGTAGGTTTGAACAATTTGTCAGTTATTTGATGAGTTAAAAATAGGTTCACAATACTTTCTATCTTACAAAGAGTACTTTTTGGTACAGATTTCTTAAGAGGAAAAAAATGTTTCTAGGTATAAAGTTTGTCTATTGCAGTTTAATTCTAAAGTAAAGGATGATGGAGAAGTCAGGAGAGTTTAATCTAGCAATTAAGATATCAACAGAAGGAAAAGACTCCACCTTTGTTATTTTTATAAAATTTTTGTTTAGGGAACTGATGACTGTCTAAAATATGTTATCACCAAATCTGCTTTTTTCCATAAAAGAATCTACAAGTATAAAATAATCAGATTTTTAAGTTTTTCATTGCAATGGTTTTCCTTAATAATGGTTGAGGAAAAGTTTTCAATGAAACTTCATTTCCCTGATACTAGTGACATTTTCAAATTTCAACACCATAATATTAACTATTAAAGACCATGTAAAAATATGAAAAAAAATCAACATATCAATTTCAAAAGCATCTTCTCTCATGAACTTCAATTCACAACCCTTTCCTACCCCCACCTCAAAGTTAACTCTAGGTATTCTGATGGGTGGATTTATAAGGAAGTTTAGAGCCAGTCCAGGAGAGAAGGGTATGGTAAAATCCTATATTACAATGTGTTTTCTATTTTCCTCTTCATTCATCCTGTACATTGGCATATTAAAGGCTCTGAGATCTCCTCTAAAGAAGCCGTTTCAACTTGGTTTAAACTGTTTTCCAAATATACTTGGCATAGAATCTATTATCTATTAATAAACTAGTAATCATACTTAAGAGAATTGAGGGTCTGCTTCCTACACATTAGCTAGTCCAGATCCAATTAAAATTTAAAACTACCTTCCTTTTAGTGGTACCATGACCCCTAGGTAACCCCTACTTGAAGAGTTCACAAACCATTTAGTAAGTCATCTTAAAATCTTACCAGAGTGAATATGTACTTTATACTTCATAGAATCAATGTTCTTCCTTTGAAAATCAGGACATCTGCCAGTCTCCTATCTTCGAATACTGTAATACTTTCTCAATGCTTAGTAACACCAATTTAGTGACTTCATTGATTAGGTTCTCATGTGAGTTTGGAAAGAGGTAAAGTTAAATCATAAAGCATTTGAGGGAAGAAAACGTTAAAGCCTTTTTATCTTTGGGACCAGCAACTTGGAAGTCTTCAGGGACATACAGTGAGTGATCCTCACAGATCTGTGGCTTGTCACAAGGTGTACACCAGTAAATCTGGGAAATTCCCCAAAAATACATGTTGCAACCAGGGTTAAGACCCTAGGTATTTGTAGTTTGAAAAGCTCCCTAAAATATTTTAGTGCCCATTTCTAGAGAACAATCCTGATTTTGGATACTATCCTCCTCACTGTAATCACCTATAAAACAATTTAGCTGTAATCATTTGCAACAAGGACAATACTAACCTCTAAACTTTAAAATTTTTTTGAGCATCTCAGGCTATTGGGTCAACAGTTTCTTGCTCCAAGTACACTGTACTCTGATTTCTTGATAGTAGTTTAGGGTACTCTACCATTATTCCTTCATCTGGTTTATCAGAATTAAGAGGTAGAGCTACTTTCCTTCAAGGTTCACACCGTATGCACTTGATCAACCAATTCTTCCCCTGAGGGTAGATTTACATTTTGGAATCGTTTTCACAAACCTTTCTTCTTCCTGAAAGTAGGAAAAAACAAATGTGCTACAAACTTACTGGAGTATTTCAGTACTTTTTTAACATCACATTTCCTAAGGCAGTCTGGTTGTATTTCTCTGCATCTGAGTATTTTCTTCTTACCTATTCATTTACATCCACTTGGCTGCATAGTCTATGGTATAGACTCAAAATAATCTCCCTCTCCTTTTGTCCTTAAAGTGATCTATGGAGTAGGCCTGTATCGCTATCTATTCAAAACATACAGCACTCTTCTGCCTCATTTCTCAAGGGTTCTGCTTTTTTTCTAACACTTATTCCCTTCTACTGTTACAGTCCAATACCTTTACTCCACCAGCTCCTGATTATGCATACTAAAATAGGTTATGTATTACCTAAGACTTCACATTTTTTAAAGATATTAAAACTCACATTATACTTTATAGTCTTCAGGGATCATAGATTTTAAAGAAAAATACTGAATTCATTTTAGGTACTTAAGATATAATTTAGATAATCAATTTATGCTTTCAAATGAAACCTCCTATATTTAATTAAGAGTTTCTAAACAAAGAAAAGCTGTTTTAGGTTTATATGAACCTGAAACAGTACCACTAAGTTTTCAGCTGTCTGAAGTCAATATAGCAACATCAAAGGGAAAGGACTAAACAGCACCTTTGCTCCTAAATGACCAAGAGCTGAGATACATACAAATTTTATGGCCAAGTAATCTAAAACTCTTCTAAATATGATTAACTGTTATTCTATCCAACAAGAAAACCAATACAACAGATCCATCTAATTAGTTAAGACACCAGATACTTGTCATGCAGTTTCAGTGTCTAGTAACAAACCTCTAGACCTTAAAGTTCTGTTTCACAAGTTCTAAGTACTAATAACACATTTAAAAAGGCTTACATTCACTTTTAACTACATATAGAAGTACCAGAGTACATAATTATCAAGTGAATGTGCACATACACTAAAGATTTTCAAATCTAGTTTGGAGTTCAATCTAGCAGCCTCCAAAGATTTCAATATATATAGTCATTAGCACAACTTTCAAAAATAAAATTGCACATGGGGTGGGGAAATATGCCATCTAACTGCTCAATACTCCAAGTCTAGAAAGCTGACATTCATCCATCTATATTTTTCATGTTGAAATGCAATTGACTTTTGTTGTCCCAAGGGCTAAGTTCTATTTTTAACTAATCAAAAATTAGCTAAGAGTATAAAATGTAACCATGAAAAATTAAACCAAAAACAGTTAAGTATTTCAGAATAGTTTTTTCAATAACCTTCATTTAAAAAATTAAGAATGACAATTTTGATACTGATGCTAGGTGGTTACTTAAAAAACAATATCTACCTTTGGTCTTAGTGTGATCAGAGATCCAAGAGCATTTTGCCATATTTAATTAATAAAATCAAATTCATTTTTCATATGAGCTAATTATGGTATCTGAACTAATAGCTCTAACATATCGCTAAAAAGAAAAAATATCAAGATGGGTCAAAGGAACAGAAAAACATACAATCGATAACATTAACAGTGACCCACCTTAAGATTAATTTTAATATTTTGCTTATTAACTGTATCTCAATAGACTTTTCTGGGTTGTTAACAACACATCTATCCACCCTAAACATACCCATGGACTTTATTAACTTTAGAAAAGTAGCTTAAGATATTAGAATGCCAAAGATGGCCATGTTAGAAACAATATAATTGCTGATAATCAAAATGGCCTTCTTTTATTCAATTATTTTTGTTATACATGTATCCCACCGAAAATGACTTAAAAAATATGTCAAGTCTCAAAGCTGTTTTGGCAAACATATGCAAGATCTCTATGTGAATTGTAAACCTGTCATCAAAACCATCATGTTTTAGTAATTTAAAAAGGAAACGAAAGTATATTTTTACTGTATTATGCAACTGATTGACATGTAAAAATAATCTACACTGAAAAAAATCAGGCAAAAATTTTGATGTCTGTTTACCAGAATAACAGGAACAGAGTGATCAATGAAAAAATAGCAAAAGCTATTACAAAAAAAGTAAATTCCTATTTAGGTTCCTATGTTTACACAAATTAAAAAAATGTTTATTAAGTATCACACAGATTGCAACACATTTTATGCTCTAATATAGAAAAGTAACATGGAATATTTGAAATTCAAGCTGCACTTATCAAATGTTTTAACCTGAGTCTTGATGTCTTCAGAAATGCATGTGACAATAACGTATGCAAGTATAGCTAGTTTTTCATGGTATAATTCTATGTGATTTTTCTTTGAATGGTTCTAAGTACCGTTTTTTCTTAAACATTTATGTAGAGTATAAATATTACATGTCTTGGATTCTTCAAACACTTGAGAGGGTATGAATTAATTTTTTTTGCTAAATAAGCATATGAAGATGTCTTCTTAGTTCAAAACACTTTATCTTATTTTCATGTTAAGTTATTTTAGAATAAATGTAAATGGTCAAAAAATTATCATAGATACTTGAGTATTCCCATGAATTATATCACACCCACTGAGAAATTATACAAGTTCACTAAAGAATATGAAATTAATCATTTCCTCCTATAAATATTTTCTTTTTATTTATTTTGTGTTTAGAAGTTGCAGTTTTAAGTACTATTAACAGAAAAATACATAACAAAAGCTTCCTAACAAGTGAAAAAAATAATTATAAATGCTGGAAAAATTGGCCTCATTAACATATTTACAAACTTTTACTTAATACATACTCCTTTGGAAATTAATTATATGACATTTATACAAGCATTAACATTTCAAATCACTGAGTAGTGAGCACTTCAGTTCTTTACTGTCTATACCCAAAGCTGAAAGTCATTGGTTTTTGAATGAAGAACTGGCAAGCACAGTCATGTCAATCTGAGATACTGTTGACATATTGTTCTGCTCCTTCGCCTAAAGATGCTTCTGTTGGGGAACTATCTTTATGTTTCTTTTTCTCTTTGCTCTGATCTTCCTGCAGCTTCAGAATTATGTTTCGGATTTCTTCTCTCTTTGTTCTCATTCTTGGGGGAGGAAACCAGTTTGCCAAATTCATAGGTAGTTCAAAATTGAGAATTGGATTCTGTAAATAAAAAATAAGTGCATATTAATTATAATAGATTAGTTTTAGCATTCTAATGTTAAAAATTAAAAAAAAATCAAGAACTCATTCAATATGCATTTAATCATATACTTGTAATATACCAGGCATTGTACTAGGCATTGGAGATAAAACACAAAATTTCTGTCTACATATCTTACAATCTAGATTAGGAGTTGACAAAATCAGTGTGTGAAATTTTGCCTGCTTTGTGAAATTTACATATGTAAAAATATGCAAGAGAATGAGGAAGGAAAGGTCAACAGTGGCAAATGGTACGGGGAGGTCAAGAACAGTTTTGATATAAAGAGAAGGATGGAGCCAGATTTCAGGGATTTGAAAAGTAAGTAATCGATCTGTGGTAATGGAGAGAATGCACATAAATACTTCTCCAGAAATATTAACATGAAAGAGAAAAGGGTTTGGTGAAAGAGGCTTTTGGATTATGGGAGATCTCATAAGATACAAAGAGTCAAAGTAGACAGGTCAAGTTCATCAGTGATGGAAAGAGGAAAATATGCCTGGGATTAGATAAACTACACCTTTTATGCCTTAAAATATCTCCAATTTGTTAGTTTTTGCTCCCTGGAATAATTCTTTAAACAGTGCTCAAGCTTTTGAAAATATTTTTTACTGGTTTCTTTAATATAAAGTCAAATATACTATTTTGTTATTTATTACATCAGATCCAATAAACTGCAACCCACCTCAAAGAAACTTTCTACATACTGCAATACATATACACCACAATCACTGAAGTTGTTTTGCTGGGGTACTTTTGGATTAGAGCCTTTCATAACATCTTTGGAAAAACTTCTTTTGCTTCCTTTCTTAACTTCCCATTCCACTTCTAAATACCTGCAATAATGCATACATAGTAAGAATATATATGTATGTAAACATACATAGTCCCTCATCTCTACTAGAATACAAAACAAAGTACGAGATGTGATTTTGAACTCACTCTCTTAGAATCTTGACAACATTTGATCTCGAAGGGCCTCTCAGTGAATCCATAAGTAGTATACAAGGTCTGCAGGGTGGAGATGACCAAAAATTGAATACCTCATATAACATTACAAAAGCATGAAAAATAAAAAAGTAATATTTCAACAATAAAATTTAAAAACATTCAAAATTCCCCTCTTATGTTTCTAAATACTCAGAGTATTAATATGTTTTTGTTATATTATACAGAAGTTCCATAATTGGTTCCTAAAAATACTTCAAAGTTTGGTAGAATGTAAAAAAAAATGATGTTAACTTGAACACTCATCCCTCATACAACAAATAAAAAGTAGAAGGAAAGTAGTCCCATTTTTAAATTAAAACTAAATAAAGCCGGCGCCGCGGCTCACTAGGCTAATCTTGCGGCGCCAGCACACGGGGTTCTAGTCCCGGTCAGGGAGCCGGATTCTGTCCCGGCTGCCCCTCTTCCAGGCCAGCTCTCTGCTGTGGCCAGGGAGTGCAGTGGAGGATGGCCCAAGTCCTTGGGCCCTGCACCCCATGGGAGACCAGGAGAAGCACCTGGCTCCTGCCATTGGATCAGCGCGGTGTGCCGGCCGCAGTGTGCCGGCCACGGCAGCCATTGGAGGGTGAACCAACTGTAAAGGAAGACCTTTCTCTCTGTCTCTCTCTCTCACTGTCCACTCTGCCTGTCAAAAAAAAAAAAAAATTAAATTAAAAAAAATTAAAAAAAAATAAATAAAAACAGGGAATCATCACATATAAGAATCAATTTAGGATGATGCAGGTTTTTTTGGTGAAATTCTACTTTAGAACAATGTTTAACTCAGATTCAAACATTAAGTTTTTTTGTTCTATTTTATTTTTATTTATTTGAAAGAGCTACAGAGAGATGTAGAGACAGAGAGAGAAGTCTTCACTCCCCAGATGGCTGCAATAGCTGAAGTTGTGCTGATCTGAAGCTAGGAGCCAGGAGCTTCCTCCAGGTCTCCCATGTGGGCACAGGGGCCCAAGGTCTTGGGCCATCCTCTAGTGCTTTCCCGGGCCACAGCAGAGAACTGAATTGGAAGAGGAGCAGCCGGGACTAGAATTGGCGCCCATAAGGGATGCCGGTGCTTCAGGCCAGGGCTTTAACCCGCTGTGCCACAGCGCCAGCCCCAACTTTAAGATTTTTAAAAAAACTATATTTTTATTTCATAGACAGACATTGTGGGGGGATGTTGAAGGGAGGGGAAGAAGGGAAGTGAGACACAATGATTTTTCCAAATGGCTTGCTCCCCAAATGACTGCAATCTGACACAACAGCTGAAAATGAAGGGGGTGGAAGAGATTGGGAGAACAGGCAAAGCCTGGAACCAGGAACCCAATCCAGGTCTCTCACCCACATTGGTGGCAGAAGTTGGTGCTCAACTACTTGAGAAATCAATCACCTGCTACCTCCCAGAGTGTATATTAGCAGGAAGATGGACTTGAACACTTCATATGGGACATGGGTCTCCCAAGTGGTATCTTGAGCACTGTGCAAATGTATGTCATTCAAAATTTCTTAATGGAGTTTCTACCAACATTTTCCATAAGGTCAAAGGGGATTAAGTCTAGAAATAGGTAATACTTCGGGAATAAGAAGTTCAGAGCTTCTGGAGAGAATTCAAACACATATTGACTCACTCTCACTTGGGATTATCAACCAGAATATTCCCCATGTGATGGCCTTGAGTAGCTATGGAACCAGCATAAACTCCAAACCCATGTTATTACTTTGGTATACAATGTTTCTTGCTCCAAATAAATGATCACTATTGAAAAGTGTGTGCATCTGGGTGTGCATGAGAAAAATGGAAGGGGACAACAGAAAAGATCTCTGGACAGCAAGTCCCAATTTTCCCCATTGTTCCTGGCAACATTTGTGAATTTTGCTTAAGTAACTGCTTAAAAAAAAAAACTATCCAGTTTGCTTCATTCTATGAATATATTTAAATAAAAATTACCAAGCAGTTTGCAAGATAAAACAGTTAATGCTTACTGTTTACAGATAGTAGGCTTTAAATGCCACTGTCCTATTTCTGAATTGCAGTTGTCATCAGCAAGGAATCCATCATCACTGCTGTCATCCTATAAAAGACAGCCTACTATTACTATTCAAAGTACACAACCTCAATAACTAATAATCTAACAAAATAGTACCATGAGGAACAAAAATCTTTATAACACATACATAAAAACACTTTTAGGTGATCACACACTAGAAAATGTGGTATGTTACTCAATTTCAATTATCTAATGTTTCAAGACTGACATTTTTAATGGAAAGAAACTACTAGAGGTATATAAGAAACTGTTACATCTATTTACTCAATCTAGAATATTTAAAGCATAAACATATTATGACCAGTTCTTTTTCTGTCAAATACTACTTCTCTAATTTTAGTTTACTTTTTGCAAGTTTAATTTGTTGGCTTAGACAGCCGTTTCACAATAGAACATGAATAACCATTACTTGTTTACATAATTTTTTTCACAGAAATATTTCAAAAATTTTTGCAAACACCATTCTTCCTTGACAATATATCCAATACCCATATATCCAATTTACTTGAGAGAAGATATTATAAGGGCATTTTGTCTTATTCTGTACATTCTCTTAAAGAGGCTGTTTGTGTTCTTTGAGGAAGCTTCTGGTAACTTTATGAATGGAATAAATTATAGTAAGGATAATAGTGATAATAAAGCACTGTTAAATTAGCTAGTACATAAAACAGGTGACTACTAAAAACAGATTAAGTGCACACTATATACCAAGAATGTAATTCCTATACAAGCTTAGATTCCTTATCTGAAATAATTGGGATCAGAAGTATTTCAGATTTCAGAATGTTTAAATGGACTTTATTAGTTGAGAACTGCTAATCCAAAACATATGCATCACACCGGCACTCAAGAAGTTTCACATTTCAGAGCATTTTCATTTCAGAACAAAAATATCAACCTGGAAATATTGGACAGAAAAACTCAAGCATACATCATAAACCTAGAGATATCACATTTTGTTTAGCAAAAAAAGACAAGTACAATATAAGGGCATTTTCACTAGTAGATAAAACAACCCAGAGTTTGGCTTAACACTTAAAAAAATAAGGTAACAGATTTAAAGAACTGGCAAAAGTATGCTATCAGGTTCATATGTAAGCTCTTCTCTTAAAGCTTATAGTTTCCTTTAGCTGAGCTATCAAAATATTTTTTTAAAAAGATGTTATTGAGGCAGAGTTACAGAGAGAGAGAGACAGAGACAAGAGATCTTCCATTTGCTGGTTCACTCTCCAACTGGTTGCAGCAGCCAGAGCTGGGTCCGTCTGAAACCAGGAAACAGGAGCTTCTTCTGGGTCTCCCATAGGGTGCAGGGACCCAAGCATTGAGCCATCTTCTGTCACTTTCCCAGGCACATTAGCAGGGAGCTGGATTGGAAGTGGAGCAGCAGGGTGCCCATATGTGGTGCTGACACCACAGGCAGTGTGCCCATATGTGATACTGACACCAGAGGCAGTGGCTTTACCTGCTACACCATAGCACCGACCCCAATTAAAAGTATACTTTATTCTTGGTATTAATAAAATCCATGAAGCTAATGAGACTAAGGAGATAATGAAATTCACCTGTGTTAACTTTAATTATCTGCTTATGCCAGTTTTCACACATACACACACAATAAATTGGACAGAAGAAAAAAGCCACCAGAAAAATAACATAATTTTGTTGTATGCATGTACTACATAATCAAATATTTCAACATTTGCCTCAGATTAGACCAAAGGAGAATTATGGTTTATTCCACAGTGGCAAAATCATCAAGAAGAGCACTAATATATTTATCTCAGCAACTTCTGACTTGAAAACTGAATTTGTGTTTTGAGATGTGACTCAAATCCAGAAACCATAATGGAGTTTTGGTTGAAAGAACTGCTTATAGAACTTGAAAGAAAAATCTGTAATTAGATAAAACATTAGAAATTTTTCCCCAGCATTAAATTTTACCTGGTTATCTTGATCTTCTGAGAAGTCAATAAGTTCCTCATCAAGCATTTTACCACTTTCAGTTGATTCATCACTGTAATTTAGTCTGATTTTGCTTAAGCCATCTGTATCAATAAGAAATATCATACAATATTTAAAAAGGTCATGCCTAAAACTCATAGGATACAATGCTGAAATTAATGTTAACATTAATGATGTAGTACTTACGGATATAAAATCTGCTTTAGCATGAAATACCACAAATATGAAATAAGGTACTTTAAATAAAAACCAGATAGACATCTCAATTATACAGCTGTACTACTTAGACCTTAAGATTCATTAAATTTGAAATCTAGGTATCAGTTAAATGATTAAATATAGGCATACTTAAAAACACATGTCGAGCCAGCGCTGCGGCTCACTAGGCTAATCCTCTGCTTTGCGGCGCCGGCACACCAGGTTCTAGTCCCTGTCAGGGCGCCGGATTCTGTCCCGGTTGCCCCTCTTCCAGGCCAGCTCTCTGCTGTGGCCAGGGAGTGCAGTGAATTGCACCCCATGGGAGACCAGGATAAGTACCTGGCTCCTGCCATCGGATTAGCGCGGTGCGCCGGCCGTGGCAGCCATTGGAGGGTGAACCAACGGCAAAAAGGAAGACCTTTCTCTCTGTCTCTCTCTCTCACTGTCCACTCTGCCTATCAAAAAAAAAAAACAAAAAAAAAACAAAAACATGTCTATGTATGTATGTAGGTAAGTAAGCATTTTTGTACTATAGTCTAAAAACATTATTAGATAGATAAGAGGTGGTTGCTTGGCCTAGCAGTTAATCCTACATATGAGTGTCTGGGTTCTGTATCTGGTTCCTGCCTGATTCCAGCTTCTTGCTAATGGAGGAAACAGTGATGGCTTACCGGAGTCCCTGTCGCCTATAACGCAGACCTGGACTGACTTCCTGGTTCCCAGCTTTGGCTGGTCCAGCCTTGGCCACTGTGGGCGTTTGGGGGGTGGAAACCAGTGGATAAGAACATGTTCTCTGAGAGCCTCAGGTGGTCACTGACATCATACATAAGAGCATTAATTGTTAAATTAACAACAGGAGTCACTGTGCACTAACTCCCCATGCAGGAACTTTGTCTTCAGTAAGTTGTATTGAGAGTTAACTGGAAAACCAGTTCTGTGTGTGTGTGTGTAAACTGTTGAAACTTTTATTTAGTACAGAGTTGGTCTTCTGTGTACAAAGTTAATTAAAAATGAATCTTAATGGAGAATGTGACTGTCAAGGGGAGAGGAAGAAGAGGAGAAGAGGTGAGAGGGCAGATATGGTGGGAAGAATAACTATATTCCTAAAGTTGTACTTATGAAATTTGTATTCTTTAAAGGAAAGCTTGGAGGGGCTTTTTTTTTTTTTAAGATTTATATATTTATTTGAAAGTCAGAGTTACACAGAAAGAGAAGGAGAGGCAGAGTGAGAGAGAGGTCTTCCATCTGCTGGTTCACTCCCCAATTGGCCGCAATGGCTGGAGCTGTGCCAATCCAAAGGCAGGAGCTTCTAGCGGGTCTGCCACCTGGGTACAGGGGCCCAAAGACTTAGGCATTCTTCTACTGCTTTCCCAGGCCAAAAAAGAGAGCTGGATCGGAAGTGAAGCAGCCAGGACTCAAACCAACGCCCATTTGGGATGCCAACATTGCAGGCAGTGGTTTTACCTGCTATTATGCCACAGCGCTGGCCCCCGAAATTTGTATTCCTTAAAAAATAAATAAAAAAAAAAGCAAAGCAAAAAAAAGAACATGTTCTCTCTGTTACTATCTCATTTTCTCTCCCTCTAAGTAAATAGTAAATTAGATAGATATGCTTGGTTTTGGACAATAAAAATATAAAAATGAAAACAATCATCATGTAAATGTAGGTCCGGGCAGTAAAAGAAAGTAAATGATTCATAGGAAAAAGTGAAGTGGATACTTTTAAAAGTCTGTGCCAAGAATCCAAATTCTTAGAAATCATTTCTTTTCCTGAGAGAAGCTCACTTCATAAAATGTTCAAAGAAACTAAGATTTATACAAAAGTAGTGAAAACGGAGACAAGCACTTTTAAAAAATTTTTTAAAAATTTATTTATTTGAGTGGCATATATTCTCTCTCTAACTCCATCTTCTGATTTACTTCCCGAATGCTAGCACTGGCCAAAGCTGAAGCTGGGAGTTGGGAACTCAATCCAGATCTGCAACATGACTAGCAGGGAAACCAATGAAACCAATGACTTGAGCCACCACTCATATGGTCTGCATTACAGGAAGCTGGAGTCAGGAACCACAGCTGGATATTCAACCCAGGCACTCTAGGGTACACAGGTATGGTTTTTTTTTATTTTTTTATTTTATTTTATTTTTTTTTTTGACAGGCAGAGTGGACAGTGAGAGAGAGAGACAGAGAGAAAGGTCTTCCTTTTGCCGTTGGTTCACTCTCCAATGGCCGCTGCGGCCGGCGCACCGCGCTGATCCGATGGCAGGAGCCAGGTGCTTTTTCCTGGTCTCCCATGGGGTGCAGGGCCCAAGTACTTGGGCCATCCTCCACTGCACTCCCTGGCCACAGCAGAGAGCTGGCCTGGAAGAGGGGCAACCACAGGTATGGTTTTTAAAAAAAAATTTTTTTTGACAGAGTTATAGACAGTGAGAGAGAGAGACAGAGAGAAAGGCCCTCCCTCCCCATTGGTTCACCCCCTACGAAATGGCCACTATAGCAGGAACTGCGCTGATCCAAAGCCAGGAGCCAGGTGCCTCCTCCTGGTCTCCCATGAGGGTGCAGGGGCCCAAGCACCCAGGCCACTCTCCACTGCCTTCCCAGGCCACAGCAGAGAGCTGGACCAGAAGAGGAGCAGCTGGGACTAGAACTGGCGCCCACATGGCATACCAGCTTCACAGGCGGAGGATTAACCAAGTGAGCCATGGCCCTAGCCCCCCCCCACAGGTGTTTTAGCACTAGGCCAAAGGCCCACCTGTGAGATAGGGATTTTAATACCAATTAATCAGATCACACAACAGAACATTCCAAAATTTTACACTGCCTCATCTTTAGGCATGTTAGTATAAAATTTATTTTGGTATAAGTTATAAAAAAGGGGTTAAGAATATTAATGTAAACAAGATGGTATGGAAAAGAAGCAAAATAAAATGCACACCTAAAAAGATATATTAATCTCAATGCTGTGATCAGAAACATACTCTTTAAAATAACTAATAGGAACTGGTATTGAGGCATAGCAGGTAAAGACACTGCCTGCGACACCAGCATCCCATATTGCGGCAGGCTTGTATTCTAGCTGCTCCACTTCCAATCCAGCTCTCTACTAATGACCTGGGAAAAGCAGCAGCATTTGGCCAATAAGTGGAAGCTCGCTCTCTTTCAAATAAATAAATTAATTTAAAAATCCAATAAAGCACCAGGCTAAATCTTTGTTATAACAGAGAGCTGGATCGGAAGTGGAGCAGCCAGGACTAGAACTGGCACCCATATGCAATGCTGGCACTGCACACAGCAACTTTACCCACTATACCACAGCACTGGCCTCAAGAATAATGTTTTACTTTACCCTTTTAGAAAATTTGCTTGGGGCCAGGAGAAGATGGCCCAAGTCCTTGGCGCTCCTGCACCTGCATTGGAGACCTGGAAGACGCTCCTGGCTCCAGACTTCAGATCGGTGCAGCTCTGGCCATCACAGCCTCGTAGGGAGTAAATCAGAGGATGGAAGACCTCTCTCTCTCTCTCTCTCTCTCTCTCTCTCTCTCTCCCTCCCTCCCTCCCTCCCTCCCTCCCTCCCTCTGCCTCTTTGTAACTCTTTCAAGTAAATAAATAAATCTTTTTAAAAAATTTGTTTTAATGAAAAACACCTATTAAATAAAATGTGTCTAAACCACAGAAATTGTGGTCATATGACATCTACCTTACAAACTAAACTACGCGTTCACTTTAAAACCAATAGAATAATAATCTAAATAATATAGTCAATTCCCTCCACTATCTCACACAATAAACAAATGAATAAACCGAGGTGGTAACTTAATCAGCTGGTCTCTCAATCAGTGTCAGTTCTTGAGAACTCATGTAGTGGGACAATGTGAAGACATTGAGTGTATTCTTGGAGTTTAATCATTACTGAAAATGCAAAGACCCATTTTAGAGCACCATTTTTCCAGCTGTGGGGCACTATTAGCAGTGGATTATAGGAGCATTAAAACAAACAAAAAATACAGTGTTACCACACACATGATACTTTTTTTGTGAAACATTTGTTTCAGAGCTCCTGAATTTTAAGAAAGATAGAGTTCATGTGGTAAAACACTAAAAATAAAAAATGCAATACGTGTAATAAAGAGATGTATAAACAGGATAAAGACACTAAAAAAGTAAACTATAGAACATAAATTATTCTTTATGTTGCTCTCCATTAAGATTTTTGAGGCTGTTTACTCAAATTTAATTGATTATTACTTAGCTCAAACACCAATTTGTAGGAGAAGGCAGTAAGACTCTGGAGCATGTGCACACGAAGCCCTAGGCTTTGTCATTTTGCTTTAAATTATGCATTATCCTTTACTTTTTATGTGAATTAACTGGCCAATGGGGACTTAATTTTTTTTTTAATTTGACAGATAGAGTTATAGACTGTGAGAGAGACAGACAGAAAGGTCCTCTCTCTGCTGGTTCACGCCCCAAACGGCCACCACGGCCGGTGCAGCGCCGATCCGAAGCCAGGAGCCAGGTGCCTCCTCCTGGTCTCCCATGCAGGTGCACGGGCCCAAGCACTCCGGCCATCCTCCACTGCCCTCCCAGGCCACAGCAGAGGGCTGACCTGGAAGAGGAGCAACCAGGACTAGAACCGGCGCCCATATGGGACGCTGGCGCTGCAGGCGGAGGATTAGCCAAATGAGCCATGACGCTGGCACCCAGGGACTTAATTTTAAGAACTCTGTTGAAATATAATTCAGATATACAATTCACCCATTTAAAAAGTGTACAATTAAATGGCTTTCAGTACAGTTGGCCCTGTGTTTCCAGGGGTTCCACACCCATAAATTCTATATACATGGACAGATTCATGCAGATTGAAAACTATTGGGAAAAAAAGTGTGTCTTTTCTAAACTCATACAAACCTTTTTCCTTGTCATTATTCTCTAAATAACACAGTATAACAACTATTTCCACAGCATTTATGTCACATTAGGTATTTAAAGTAATCTAGAGATAATTCAAAGTATATGAGAGGATGACAAAAATGTATGCAATACCATCTCATTTTATACAAGAGACTATGGATTTTGGTATCTCAAGGGGGATCTGAAATCAATTTCCCATGGATACTAAGAGCTAACAGTATATTCACATTTGTGTAACCATCATCAATTTCAAAACCTTTAATTATCTCATGAAGAAACACAGTACTCTTCTGCTACCACCTTCCATTCCTGATGTTTCCATGCCTCGTTCTCTTGCCCTTAGGTTCATAAAAATGATGTTTTTCTCAAGTATTACATGCTAAAACTGGTTATCTAATTTGCCTTCTTTCATTCAAGTTCCTTCTTAATGAAACAGATTGGAAAATGAGCTAGAAAAGGAAGAACTTATCTGCTTAGTTTTTGATGAACTATTTTTCTGTATCTGCTAAACTGTTCCTCTCTACCTCTTAAGAGGGGCCTTCAAACAATTCATGGGAAGTGTGTATTATGAAAAAATTACACATGGACTTCAAATTTTTGTACTACATAATTATCTTTTAATTTCATTTTCCTATGAACTTTTAGAAATAACTTTGTATATCTCTCAAAGGGCAAAAAGAGGACAACTTCTAGAATAAGATCAGATTTATGTAGCATAGCACATCAGACAAATAAAAATAATACAAGAGGAGCTAGTATCGTGTTGCAGTGGGTTAAACTGCTACGTGAGATGTCGGCATCACATATGAGCCCCAATTTGAGTTCCAGCTGCTCCACTTTTAATCATGCTCCCTACTAATGTGCCTGGGTAAGCAATGGAAGATAGCCCAAGAACTTGGGCCTCTGCCAGCCACACTGGAGACCTGGGTAGAGTTCCAGGATCCTGGTTTTGGCCTAGACCAGCCCCAGCCATTGCACCTATTTGGTAACTGAACCAGTGGCTGGAACATCTCTCCCTTAGTCTTTCCATCTCTCTCGTTAACTCTTTTAAATAAATGAATAAATATTTAAAAGAAATAATATTACAAAAAGTAAACAAGTACTAACAGTATATTCATCATTCACAATTTTTGACATATTTCTGAATTTATGTAATTTCTTTTATGTCTCAAAGCAACATTTTTATCCAAAGAAAATGAAGATAGGAAATTATATAACTGACATGGTATCAAATTTAAGAATTTCAACAGAAACTTTAGATTTTCTTTCAGGTATTACAAACATGAAAAAGACTCAAGAAACAAAATTTCTCAGGGCCGGCATCCCATATGGGTGCCGGTTCGAGACCCGGCTGCTCCACTTCTGATCCAGATCTCTGCTCTGGCCCTGGAAAGCAGTAGAAGATGGCCAAAGTCCTTGGCCCGCTGCACCCACATGGGAGACCTGGAAGAAGCTCCTGGCTCCTGGCTTTGGATTGGCACAGCTCTGGCCGTTGTGGCCATCTGGGGAGTGAACCATTGGATGGAAGACCTTTCTCTCTCTCTCTCTCTGCCTCTCCTCTCTCTGTAACTCTGACTTTCAAATTAAATAAATCTTAAAAAAAAAAAAAAAACAAAATTTCTTAGAGCTGAAGAAAAATATAAAAGCAGATATTAGACTAGTGCCGCAATTCTCAGTGAAAATAATGAAAGAGAGTGAAGAACGAGAAACAAACTTTAATTGGAAATCTTAATATTCTGGAAACTAAAATATTTATTTAGAAGCCTCTGGCCAGCTGACCTCAGCTTACTGGTCTGCAAATTGAGAAAAATGAACTAATTTTGCCTTATAGATCAAAGACTCTGCAACTGTAATTTATGGTGAACACAATAAATTTCCTATGAAATAAAAGTAAATCCAAATTCCTATAAATGGAAAAATGTAAACCTTATAAAGGTTGAATATCTTGTATACAAAGTGGTTGTGGCCAGAAATGCTTTAGATTTTGGAGTTTTGGAATTTGGGGATGTTTGCATATGCCAATAACTTACCTTGGAGACAGGACCAAGTCTAAACATGAAATTCATTAAAGTTTCAAATATAGCTTATATACACAGCCTGAAGGTAATTTCATACATTTTTTTAATGTACCTGTGTTCTGATCTGAGGTCAGGTGTGTAATTTTTCACTCGTGGCATCATGTTAGTGTCAAAATTGAACTTGCCTATTTTGGAGCATTTCAGATTTCAGATTAGGGATGTTCAATCTGTACTACAATTTCTTTTTTTTTTTTTTTTTTTGTCTTTCTTTTTTAAAAGATTTATTTACTTATTTGAAAGTCAGAGTTACAGAGAGAGAGAGAGAGAGAACTTTAATCCACTGGTTCACTTCCCAGATGTCCACAATGGCCAGGACTAGGTCTCCACGTGGGTGGTAGGGACCCAAACACATGGGCCATCTTCTGCTGCTTTTCTCGGGACATTAGCAGGGAGCTGGACCAGAGATGGAGCAGCTGGAACCTAAACCAGTGCCCATACAGGATGCTGGAGTCGCAGGTGACAGCTTAACCTGCTATACCATGCTGGCCCTTTTAGGACAATTTCAAAAACTGTAATTCTAAAAAGGAGAGGAGAGGAGACTGACTGCAAAGGGAACAAAAGGAGACTTTTATGGAGTGATGAAAAGGTTCTAAATTTTGGCTGTGGTAATGATTACATGATTGCTATATGTATTTATCAAAGTAGTGTTACTGTGAGGAAATTTTACCTCAATAATCCCAATTTCAAAAACAACTGTTTAATATTTCAGATAGGATTAAAACCTTATTCTTTCATTCTTTCAAAATATTTAGATACATACCTGGATGGTGTATAGAACTTAAACTTTCATTCTGTAGGCAATTCTCATTTTTAGACCTATCAACAACTTTCTGGCATGCTGGTTCTCCTTTATTTGATTCTTCATTTTCACTCGCAGTATGATTAATTTTTTTCACACTACATTTCACATTGCATATATTTCTCCGAAAACAAGGGTCACTTTCTTCCTGCCCCACACTTGAATCAGTTACAGCTATGCCATGCTTTTTGTTTAGCATCTTTTTAATTACAGGCTTGGCTGAAGAGTTTTGTGAACTGTCCATTTCATTGGCTGAAGGAGAAGAAATACAACTGTCCTCTACAGCTGAACATTTTTGTATGCCTGCATTTTCATGGTAATGAGGATTAGGTTCATACTTTGGTTTTTCCAAACCAGGAAAACAAACAACAGCCAAAAACCAGTGTGCACTGTAAAAAACAAACAAAACTACTAAATATATTAGAAAAGTTGATATTTGGCGATATCAATTGAAATGTTTTATTTTAAAGCTTCTGTAAACAAATCTATTAAGAATGAGCAACCTACTTTTTAGATATGATAATGAAATCATCAACAGAATACAGTATCTATTCAAAATTAACACAATTTTGTTAGAATTATGTAGCCTGCATCACTTTTGTAAACAATACTTGGAAACTTTTTTCTTTTGGAATAAAAATTTCCTTTTTTAGGCAATTATGTCACTTCATAGTACCATTCCTTCTTGTGTTCCTTTGCTTTCTTTTTGTAAAAGGACAGAAATTTAGCCTCAAGATTAAAATGTCTTCAGAAATCTAATTAGTATTACTCTCAATTTTAGAAAAATAATTTTAAAAATATTTAACTGATGCCTGAAAGATATACATATTTATGGGGTACCATGTCACATTTTGATACCTGTACACATGTTGTAATAGCCAATCAGGGTAAACATATCTATCTCTCCGAATTTAACATTTCTTTGCATGAAAACATGAAAATTTTTTAATATTTTTAAAGAGAAATATAGATTTTCATTATTAAAAATAGTCATCTTAGTGTATGCTAAACTGATTTTCTGTATATAAAGAGAATCGAAAATGAATCATGATGTGAATGGAAGGGGAGAGGGAGTAGGAAAGGGGAGGGTTGTGGGTAGGAGGGACATTATGGGGGGGAAGCCATTGTAATCCATAAGCTGTACTTTGGAAATTCATTAAATCAAGGTTAAAAAAAAAGTCATCCTATTGTACAACAAAATACTAGAACTTTCTTAGTCCTACTTGTATCTTATTAGCCATTAATTTACCATCCCTCTGTTTTTGATTATTAGTAAGGGTAGGAAAACCTCAATGTTAATATAATATAGTTGAAGTCAGGTAACACAGTTACTAACAGTAACAGGTAAGAAGTTGGACATTCTCGGCTATTTATTAACATACCAAATTATTTTGAGGACCTATTATCTGATAAACACAGTGTTATATGCTGAACACAATGAACAGGCTATTGATGTCAGTGAACTTATTAGTTAAACACAATGATATTGGTCACATGGTATAGTATTCAATAAATGTTTGCTGAATTAAAAAATGAGTATCTCAATATGGATAATCTACATTCTCATTTCTGCAAAATAATAGATTACCCCAGGTTAGTATTAAGAAACAGCACTAGGCAGCACTGAGTAGAAAGGTCATAAAGGCTGGTTTCATTTTCAATACTGTAAAGGACAGACGATGAAGGCTCTTCTCTCCTGTTCTTAATTATTAATTTTCAGTATCCTCTGGACTTCGGTTAGGTCAGTCTAGGGTAGTAGGAAAAGCTGAGATCCTCTTCTCATCAATTCTCGATAAAGTGACTCTAAGTCATTCAGGAATGTTAAAATGCTTTTAAAACTGTTAAATATGGTATAATACTGTGATTCTTAACCTATAGTGAGCTGTGTAACCTTAGTTTCTAATACTTTTTAACATTTCTTAGCTATTCCAAATATAGATTAAGCTACATATTTTTGGTTGTCTCACCTAAAAATTAGGAATTTTTTTTCCTCCGACTGAAAGAGAAAAGCTGAATCAGATGGTCACTTCCAATCTCTAAGAGCCAAGGTTTTCCTTTTATGATCCCTTTAATACCATTAACCTAAATCACCAGTGGAGGAAGAGTCTTAAAATAGGCAATTTCACTTAATATAGATTAGGTCCATATATATACCCACTGGTAATTACTGTGACAACTTATAACAAATGGTTTCTAAACTCAAGTTTAAAGAAAATCAGCACTATCAGCAAAGTAACAAATACAATGGGTAACAAATATATGGCAGCCCATCTAATTACATTAGTGTGTAATACGTGGAGGCTATTTCTTCACATCCCAATAGTGTAGCTGTCTTATAGAATCTTTTCCTGGCCCTATATCTTTGCTCATTCTCTACCTCTCACCAAGATGATCAGAAGCATTGTCTCTTCACGGATACAGAGAGAGATCTCAAAGACATGAGTCTCTGTCCCTATGTACTGTGAATCTCAAATTATATTTCTATTTAAATTTAAAAATTCATTTCTGACAGATTACTTGGGTACTCTGAAAGCATGTTAAAATAGACAAAATAAGTCCATTTCATAAATTGTCTAAGCAAAGGAAAATATTAGGTCATGGTGAAACACACAAAATACCAAACAGGCCCTCTTCTGCTATATGAGTGAATATTACTTGTTTATCTACCATAGATCCTCCTTTAAACCACCAAATCCAAGCTCAATTTCTGTTACAGGTCTTTTAAACACCTTTGTACTGAGAGGCCCTGAGTTGTCCAAGATGTACGTTCTCCCCAGTGCAAGTAATAAACTGAAGCTGTCCAGCTACAGGTATATTTATGGTGGTCTTTGACTGGAGGACATAGCAAAATTAAAAAAAAAAAAAAATGAAATAAGTTTTCCAATTGTTACTGTATACAATTATATTATTTAAGTATCTCCATTTACTTGGAAAACTGTTTGACATAATCAGCATGATTTTCAATTTGAGCAAATGGAAGAAATCCTACAATCTTTCCTCCTGTCAGGTTAAAAGCAAATGTAGTTTTAAACTAAAGAATCAACTTTTATGAGAGCTCATCAACCTATTTTACAAGGTAATCCTTTCTGTGGAATATCTGTTAGATCACAAGAACCACTGCTTTTATTAACCTAAACTTACTCTGCATTGACTAATAAAATGAAATTAGAAAGGTACCTCGTTCAATATTTGCAAAATTTATTCTTACGTGACACACTGGGAAACTGCAATAAATTTCTTTAAAATAGGCATATTCAATATACATCTAACAAACTTCAGAAAGAACCTTTAAAATGAATTCTTCACCTCATAAATACATTAAAAAAACTGCCACATTTACCAGAAGAAAACTCATACTCACGCTTCATTAAGGGGTACAAAAATAAAATCCTTCTCAAAAATATCTACATGCCGCGTCCATGTTTTTACTCGCCCATGTCGTTTCTGCTGTATTCTGTAAGAAAGATATACATTATAAGCTCTGAAACATCTCTAGTGCTTCAGCTTACATACATTGACTTATAAACTATTAAGGCTCAGATATACGGCTCAAGCAGTTGTATAAGACGGTTTAACAATTTAAGAAAGAAACAGGGCCGGTGCCACAGCTCACTAGGCTAATCCTCCGCCTGTGATGCTGGCACCCAGGTTCTAGTCCCAGTCAGGGTGCCAGATTCTGTCCCGGTTGCACCTCTTCCAGTCCAGCTCTCTGCTGTGACCCGGGAGGGCAGTGGAGGATGGCCCAAGTGCTTGGGCCCTGCACCCCCATGGGAGACCAGGAGGAAGCAACTGGCTCTTGGCTTCGGATCAGCGCAGCGCGCCAGCCGCAGCAGCCATTTGGGGGGTGAACCAACGGAAAGGAAGACCTTTCTCTTTGTCTCTCTCTGTCTAACTCTGCCTGTCAAAAAAAAAAAAAAAAAAAAAAAAAAAAAAAGAAAAGAAAAGAAAAGAAAAGAAAAGAAAAGAAAAGAAAAGAAAAGAAAAGAAAACAGTAGGAGCCAGTGCTATGGCACAGCAGGTAAAGCCTCTGCCTGCAGTGCTGGCATCCCATATGGTTGCTGATTTGAAACCTGGCTGCTCCACTTCCAATCCAGCTCTTTGCTATAGCCTGGGAAAGCAATAGAAGATAATTCAAGATCTTGGGCGCCTGTACCCGTGTGGGAGACCTGGAAGAAGCTCCTGATTGGCCCAGCTCCAGCAATTTGGGGAGTGAACCAGTGGATGGAAGATCTCTCTCTCTCTCTCTCTCTCTGCCTCTCTGTAACTCTGCCCTTCAAATAAACAAATCAATCTTAAAAAAAAAAAAAAAAAAAAAAAAAAAAAAAAAACCAAAAAAAAAAAAACCCAAAAAAAAACAGCATCTGAGATGGAATAAACTAGGAAAGTATGCAACTGTCCATCATTTAATCCGGGGGGAAACAGATTACTTAATTCCTGCTATATTATCACGTGCATTCCAATGTTTGTCCTCCTTCTTTCTTACTCTTTTTATAGCTATAGAATTGATATAGAAATCATACTGAGAGGGGCTGGCACTGTGGCATAGCAGGTTAAGCCGCCACTTGCAATGCCAGAATCCCAAATGGGTGCTGATTCAAGTCCTGCCTGCTCCACTTCTGATTCAGCTCTCTGCTGTGGACTGAAAAGGCAGTGGAAGATGGCCCAAGTTCTTGGGACCCTGCACCCACGTGGGAGACCCGGAAGAAGCTCCTGGCTCCTGGCTTCGGATTAGTGCAGCTCCAACCGCTGCAACCATTTTGAGAGTGAACCAGTGGATGGATGGAAGACCTCTCTCTCTCTCTCTGCCTCTCCACTCTCTGTGTAACTCCGACTTTCAAAAAAATAAATCTTAAAAACACAAAAAAAGAAATCATACTGAGAAGTATAGCAGAGTATGATTTAGGATAACTGAGAAAAAAAGAACAGCAAAAGCAAACATTATCTGATGGCAGATGAGGCAGGATAGACTACAAACACTGGTCAAAATCAAGTTGACTATTATCAACTATTATCAAGATACAAAAATTGGAAACTGCTGAAGCAGTATAAAATATATTATGCACAGCAGCCATCAACTTAAAATTTAAACAGTAGTTATGATACTACATGGATAGGAACTATAAACAAAGTAACTCAGGCCTAGGATGGAGAATACCACAAGGATACTTCAAAATGAAATAAAAGTTTCTTTTGGTACAAAAGTATTTGAAATCTACACATAGTTTTTTCATAGCAAACATTTTCCATGAGCTGTTTGGTAGACCCAAGTATTCACAGGTTTCAAAGATTTTTTGTTGTTGCAAAAGAAATTTATCTTCTAATTGTATTTTTCATGAACTTCTTGGAGTAATTCCATACTTTCTTATCTGAGAAGAACCATTCAAAAAGCTATTAAAAGTACATATTCACAGGATTCTCTCTTAGATATTAAGGATCAAACATCTAGGGTAAAACAGAATATAAGTTGTTTTATTTAAAAAAATAAGAACTATTTGTCAGATTTAGAAAATACTGTTCCAGATATTAGACCAGGAACACAGATGAATTCCAGGTAACTTGGAGGTATTACAATATTTGAGGGGCTGGTGCTGTAGTGCAGCAGGTTAACGCCCTGGCATGAAGTGCTGGCATCCCATGTGGGCGCCTGTTCAAGACCCGGCTGCTCCCACTTCTGATTCAGCTTTCTGCTATGGCCTGGGAAAGCAGTAGAAGACGGCCCCAATGCCTTGGGCCCCTGCACCTACGTGGGAGACCCAGAAGAAGCTCCTGGCTTCAGATTGGCACCGTTCCGGCCGTCGTGGCCAAATGGGGATTGAATCATCGGATGGAAGACACCCATCTCTCTCTCCGCCTTTTCTCTCTCTGTGTAACTCTGACTTTCAAATAAATAAATAAATCTTAAAAAAAGAGTATTTTGAATTATATTAACTTTGCAAACAGGTAATAGAATGAAATGATGTTATCTCACAACAAATAAAAAATTTAAAAAATTATACTTCCAAAAGGGTCTGGCGTTGTGGCGCAGCAGGTTCAAGCCCTGGCCTAAAGCGCCGAAATCCCATATGGGTGCCAGTTCTAGTCCGGGCTGCTCCTCTTCCAAATCAGCTCTCTGCTGTGGCCTGGGGAAGCAGTAGAAGATGGCCCAAGTCCTTGGGCCCCTGCACCCATGTGGGAGACTCAGAAGAAGCTCCCGGCTCCTGGCGCAGCTTTGGCCGATGTGGCCACCTGGAGAGTGAACCAGCGGATGGAAGACCACTCTCTCTGTCTCTACCTCTCTCTGTAACTCTGTCTTTCAAATAAGTAAGTTTTTTTTTTTTTTTTAAATTACACTTCCAAACTAGAGCACAGGCAGCTGAATAAATAAACTTGTGAAGAATGAAAATGAACCCTCACTGATTTCGTATGCTTCCTTCCTCATTGCAGAATTAAAAAAAAAAAAAAAAAAAAAAAAGTGAATTGCAGAGATTTGTGTTTGTTTTCTCAAATTCTACTGGTCCTCCTTATGGGTTCCATTCTGCATCCATGGTCAACTAAAGATAGAAAATATTTGTAAAAAACCAAAAACCAAACCAAAACAAAAACTGCATGTGTACCAACTTTTTTCTTGTCATTATCTCCTAAACAGTACAGAACAACAACTATTATAACGTTTTACATTGCATTAGATAGTATAATTTAGAGATGATCTGAAGTATATGAGAAAATGTTACTAGGTTATATACAAATAGTGCATCATTCATAAGGGACTTGGCCTTGAACACCCTCAGATTTTGCTAGCAGCATTTGTCTATATAAGTGTACCAGTGCTGTTACACAGCTAAACTGAGTGAGTTAACAATTTGTTAAATATTTTTAAAGTTGACTTACGACAAATTGGTTGTTTCATGATTTCTCCTCTCCCTCTGATTAAGGCGTTTATAGAAAAAAGAACTAAATATATGAATTCGATCAGCTTCTTCTTTCTTGAGTTTTTCAAGCACCAAATATCTATTAAAAAAATCCCAAAATAATGAATGTAACAGTTCACTTCATTTTAAAAAGTTAGGAGTGATCAAATAACAAATAAACATTCATTGCTATTCCTTTGAAATCAAAGAAATTGTAGGTAAAATTTTATTCATATTCCAAATAATGATGATCACCAGATTAGATTAGCTTCAGGAAATGAAAAGTGATAACTGAGATTGAATTTATGACTTGAGGGGTGGGCATTTAGAGCAGTGATTAAAACACTCCTTGGGATGCCTATATCTCTTATTAAAGTGCCTAGGTTTGATTGCTGACTCTGCTACCATTTCTAGCTTCCTGTCAATGTACACTCAAGGAGACAGCAGGTGATGGCTCAAATATTTGGGGCCCGTGCCATCCTCTTGGGAGACCTGGATTAAGTTCTAAGCTCCCGCTGCAGACTGGCCCAAGCCTGACTATTGTGGGCATTTGGGCAGTAAGCTAGCATATGAAACAGCTTCCTCACTCACTGGCTCTCTCAATCTGCCTTTCAAATAACAATTTCAAAACAATTACGATTTCAAAGATGAATGTTTTAAAACAAGGGCAGTGGCTGGCGCTGTGGTACAGCAGGTTAAGGCCATGGCCTGCAGTGCCGGCATCCTATATGGGCGCCAGTTTGAGTTCCAGCTGCTGCACTTCTGACCCAGCTCTCTGCTATGGCCTGAGAAAGCAGTGGAAGATGGCCCAAGTTCTTGGGACCCTGCACTCACGTGGGAGACCTGGAAGAAGCTCCTGGCTCCTGGCTTTGGATTGGTGCAGCTCCAACCATTGCAGCCATTTCGAGAGTGAACCAGTGGATGCAAGACTTCTCTCTCTCAATCTGCCTCTCCTTCACTCTCTGTGTAAACTCTGACTTTCAAGTAGATAAGTAATTTTTTTTTAAAAAAAGGATTTTTATTTCTTTGAGAGGCAGAGACACAGAGACCCAGAAAACATGTACTCCCTTCTGCTGGTTCACTCCCAAAAACCTGCTGATGGCTGGCACTGGACTGAGCTGAAGACTGGAGCTGGAAACTCAATCTAGGTCTCCCATGTGGGTGACTTGAGCCATCACTGCTGATTCCCAGATTCTGGATCCACATGAAATTGAAGTCAGGAGCTGCAGCCAGAGCCAGGCATTATTCCCATGCAACTCTGATTAAGAATGCAGGCATTTTATTACGTGTTTAACTGCCAAGTCAAATGCCTGCTAACCTTGCCACCCATCCCACCAGCAAGGAACTTTCTGAAGAATATTTCTAAATTATTTCCTGATGCTGAGCTTATTCTGTTGGTTGATGGTATTATTGAGTTCTTCTATGCCTTTGTTATTTTTTTAAAAAAAGATTTATTTATTTATTTATTTGAAAGGCAGAGTCAGAGAAAGAGCAAGAGTGCAAGAGTGCTTCTACCTGCTGTTTCACTCCCCTAAATGGCTGCAATGGCCACCAGATCCAAAGCTAGGACCAGAAGCTTCTTCTGGGTCTCCCGTGTGGGTGCAGGGGCCCAAGCACTTAGACCAAACATGTGGCTGTTTTCCCAGGCCACATTAGCTGGGATGCTAGCATCACAGGTGGCAGCTTTGCCTAAGCTATAGTGCCAGCCTTATTAATTTTCTTTTTAGTTGTTTTATAAATTATTGAGAGGAGTATTGAAAGATCCAATTATAGCTGTTTTCTCTTTTCAGGTCAGGTCTATTAGTTTTTTCTTCACACGTTACAGCTGTTACATGGTCCATAAACAATTAGGATAGTTAGCTTTTTTCTTGTGGCATATCACTACTTAGCATTATATAATGTTCTTTCTATCCCTACAAATTTCTTCAGCCAGAATTTTATATACAGGTATCAATATATTTTCTACTTCCTTGTTTTGATTTGTATCTCTCTTGACTCACTGTTTTCCTTCCAATCTAAGTTTATCAGTATCTTTGAAATTAGTTACTGAGAGGACATTCTTGTAGACAGTACACTAATTTTTTTCCTCTGTCCTCTCCATTTTCCTATTAAGCCCATGTATACTTTTTTTTAATGGTTTTGTATTTTTAGTCCTACAATTCCCATCTGTTTCTTCTTTACATTTCACCATATTTTCATTTGTTTCATATATGATCACTGCATTCAGTACAGTTTTTTATGATGGATACTTTTAACATCTTTGTCAAGATAATTCTGACAGTTTTGTCTTCTTGGTGTTGGAAGCTACTGATTTTTCTGACTCTTGATGAGACAAATGATTTCTCTACTGAAATTAGGCCATGTTGAATATTATAAGTCCGGATCTTATTTAATTCATGTATTTTAGCAAGATTTCTCTATTACCACCTTTTTTTTTTTTTTTTTTGGACAGGCAGAGTTAGAGAGAGAGAGAGACAAAGGTCTTCCTTCCATTGGTTCACCCTCAATGGCTGCTGCAGCTGGCGCGCTGCGGCTGGCGCACTGCGCTGATCCGAAGCCAGGAGCCAGGTCTCCAATGCGGGTGCAGGGCCCAAGCACTTGGGCCATCCTCCACTGCCTTCCCAGGCCACAGCAGAGAGCTGGCCTGGAAGAGGAGCAACCGGGACAGAATCCAGCACCCCAACCGGGACTAGAACCCGGGGTGCCAGTGCCACAGGCGGAGGATTAGCCTAGTGAGCTGCAGCACCGGCCTATTACCACATTTCAAGGAGTAAAGTTGGCTGCCACCTCATTCCTGCCACATAGGTATGGAAATCCAGGTTTTCTCTACTAAATCTGTATTGGTACTGAAACCATGAGGGTTCCTTGCTAGTGATGGGTTAGAGTGGAAGGATTCCCAATAGGACTCCACTGACAACATCAAGCAGATGGGTGACTTTTTTATCTTTAGGGACCAGAGTGAAAGTCCAGGCTCTGTATTTTACTGTAGAGTCATTGTGACATCAAAATTATTTAAGCCCTTATCCACCTTTGACCTCTGCTACACTGTTATTAAGAGCATCTTCAAAGTTTTCAACTTCCCTTGGATTACCATGACATTACTCTCTGAATTTACCTTCATGTCTCTCAAATACTTCCAGAAATTCATAGGAGTCTTTTTATTCTTAACCTTCTACAACCTACTCTGCAGTGTTCGTATAGCTTTTTTTCTGTCTAAATTCCTACCTAGATCAATTTCATTATCATAATTAAACAACCACTTTCTTAAAAGGTAAAGCTTCCAATGGATCTCTAGAGCAGAACTCAACCAACCACTAGAACCATACATTCAGTTGCTCATTGGCACTGTGCGCCTTTTGTTCTATCATAGATACCTGTTCTGCTCCTACACTCACTATTTCAGTAAGTACCAATATTATTTAGCAGGTGTTATAAACAAAAACACTAAGAATTATTGGGCACTCATTTTTTCCCTTTTTAATTTAGTCAGTCTGAGAGTCCTGCTAATTATATATCCCAAACAACTCTACATCATAAAACATCATTTACTCTTCTCTCCAAACTAAAATGCCTTAATTCCACTCCTAATATAATCTTCCATCTAGACTTCTACAATGCAAATTCAAACATATGCATGTATGAACACACTGTATGTAGGTGTATAAACATGAATACCGAGTCATGATATAAGCTCTTCCAGAAAAGCTTCCTGGTCACTCAGATCTTCAAACTACCAAAGAGAAATAAAGCACTCTTTCATTTGCTTTGTCTATACCATGTTAATGCTTCCATCACTGCTTTAATCCTGTATTTGTGTTCCCTATAAGATTATAAACTTCTCACACACAACTGACACTTGGTGAACATTTACCAAAGGAAACGGGTTAACCCACACTTTTGTATTTGTCCAACAAATTACGACCTAGCCTAGGTAGTATTTTTCTAAAGGCTTCAACTATTATAACATGAAAAGGGGCTGGTGCTGTGGTGCATTTGTTAAAGCTGCCATCTGCAATGCAGGTATCCCCAGTGGGTGCTAGTTCATGTCTCAGCAGCTTCACTTCTGCTCCAGCTTCCTGCTAATGCACCTGGTAACACAGTGGAAGATTGCCCAAGGCCCTGGGTCCCTGCACCCACATGGGAGACCGTGGCTTCTAGCTCCTGGCTTTGGCCTGGCCTAGTTCTTGCTGTTGCATTGGCAGTGAACACATTTCTCTGTCTTACCTTCTCTCTCTGTAATTACACCTTTGAAATCAATATATTCTTTAAAAAAAATAACGTGATAAACTACTATCTGTTGCCTTTCTTTTTTAACTTATCATGTGTTTTTCCCACTGCTTGACATGTGTTGTATATCATTTAATTCTCACAACTCTTTCAGATATTATCCTCATTTTCAGACTATGGAAACACAAATAGAGACATATTAAATAACTTCCCCAATGTCACATAGTAAATGGCAGTGATGACACTAAAACTAGGTTTAACTCTAGGAAACAAAGATATGCGCTGTGATAGAATGTTGGACTTTTGCTACAAAATTGGTAGAAAATTGACTTACTTCAAATAAAAGTCTATAATAACATCATTTAAAAATTCTCCTTCACTTAGACAGTGTAGGTCTTCATTAGTAACAGAGATGCCTCCTTTAGCTGGAGGTGGTGGATATACTATCAATCTGTAACAAAACAAAACAAAAAACAAGCAAATAAATCCGAATGTATATCCACCTATGTAGATACAGGTAAATGAAATAACAAATTTAAGAGCATTACAAATGCAAAGGAATTCCCTTACTTTTCTACAGGACCAATAAATATAGTGTGGTTCTCTCCAGTTTCCTCCTCATCATCAAAAAACTGGAATTCCTGCTTGTTTCTAAGTTGTATTTTAGATTCAAAGGACACCTGGTAAGTAAATTAAATGATCAGTTGAGAAAGTTAGTTGAGAAAATTTTCAATAGAACAAGCATAAGGCAAGAATGTTTCTCAATTTAAAAAGGATTAAAAATAGGAATTTAAAAAGTATGCATGTTATTTATAATTAAAAACAAACAGCAGACAAAGCTAGCAGCCACTTTCTTTTTATCTATACCTGGTAGACAATGATACCCTCCCAATTTAGTTACAGTTTTCCAGTATATTATTTCTATAAAATTTTCATTATCCACATTATATTAGATGTTAGTAAGATTCAAAGAAGCTTTTTAAGAAATAAAATGTTTTTTTTTTTTTCTTTCAGTAGAAGTCTACCTATGTTTGATGGCTAGGCAATATGTAACATGTTAAGGGTAGAGGTTCATGGAATACACTTCAATGACCTTCAAAGCCTTATACAGAGCTAAATGAAATGTAGGTCCTCAAAGGGAAGAGCCTTCTGTTGAAATCTGTGTCCATCCTATCTGCCCTTAGGGCTTCTGCTACTCTTTTCTTCCACTGGCATTATTCTTGTAGCTAACTCCGCAAAACAAGGAGAATGATTGTTCCTCCTGCTTTGTTACCAATCCACTGTGAGAATAGCTCTTTTCTGATGAGGCATCAGTAAGAGTACCTTGGATACCATATTTTCTAATTTTATACAGGTTAAAATATTTGTTTCTAATTAATTAAGCCAACAAAATTCAGTTGCTGTAGTTATTTTTGTATTATCTTGTATTATGTAGTTATATTTGTATTATTTAACGTTTATCACACATAATACATGCTACAGCAGTATGATGGCTTCTGGTTCAGGTGGCTTCAGAGTTTCCTAAGTACATAAGTAGTTACTCTAGAACTGGTTATGAATTTAGATAATAAGGACAACTGTATTCTTTAATTCCTAAATATTCAAACTGTATATATGTTACACATAAATGTACAAAAATACATCGAAGACGAAAGCTCCTGCAAACCTAAGACATGAAGTAACAATCAATCTGAATATAGCAGTATATGTATATATGCTGGGAGGTGGGTATAATGAAAAAAAGACGAAATAAAAAGGAGGGCCAGTACTGTGTCTTAGCAGATAAAGCCACCACCTGCAGTGCCAGCATCTCATATGGATGCCAGTTTGAGGCCTCGCTGCTTCACTTCCTATCCAGCTCTCTGCTATGGCCTGGGAAAACAGTGGAAAATGGCCCAAGTCCTTGGGTCCATGCACCCACGTGGGAGACTCGGAAAAAGCTCCTGGCTTCAGATTGGCGCAGCTCCAGCCATTGCAGGGAGAGAAGCAGTGGATGGAAAACCTCTCTCTCTCTCTCTCTGTCTTTCAAATAAATAAATAAATAAATCTTTAAAACAAAAAGAGGAAAGGAACAATAATGTGGAGAGAAACTAAAAGTGCTTCTGAGATCTGTATCAAGTACTGGTGTGTCACAAGTCATCCACCCACCATTAATAATTTGATGATAAACCACATATAACAAGCAAACAATTCTGAAATGAAATTTTAAAAAATCTAACACCAAAATGAGTGACATTACCAGTAAGACATTTAAAATTTTAAAATTTTAAAAACATAATTACAGTTTTAATTTTGTTTTCTTTTTGCACAGAACTTCCTTTGACACTTTCTTCATAGGTTCTAGTGCAGGCAACAAGTCTACTATTGGCTTCTTCAAAGGGAATTTTTGCAAAAAAATTGGAAACATTATTCTTTACACCAATGTCAGAAATGATACTTTCAAATATCATATTTGCCTGAGGATCAAGGCCATTTTGAAAAATTAAAATTATATATTGCTCTTCCAAATCTGTAAAGAAATAAAATATGACTGTTAAGTCTAAAAGAACAAAATAAGTCAATAAATCATTTTAACAACTAATTATTTCCAAGATCTCGGAAAATCCTGGAATAAATTTACATTTATTTTACATTTGGAATAAAGTGGATATAAAATAAATTCTGGAATGAAGACCTGTGAGTGTTACCTGACAAGGTCACGTATGTTATTAAGAGAAGGGTAGCAAGACATATTACTCTAGCAGCAGCTCAACAACAAGCCTATTCATGGATGCAACTAATGGACTTCAACTAGTAGGATCCAAATCTACTTAGTCTTAAATATATATTGGTTAACATTTTTGTCAACCACAAATAGGAAACTGTCAAGCAAATTGGTGCTCTCTAGGTAATTTTTCTGCAAAACCAGTATTTAGCAATGTGCCAACTTTTACAGCTAATATTTATTCATCATTAAGCTAAAGCAGCAATTACTGCTGAAATGTACTTATTTTATAAACAGTCATGCCATGCCACATGTTAAGAGCTGAAGGGAAACAAGCTTGAGGACCACATCTATTTACTGTAAAGGATGGAGATCCATTCTATGAACTTAAAAACTTCCTATTCAAGTCAATTTTCAAGGATTCCAGATTTATATGGTTGGTTTATACCTAGCATTTCTATCAGTTAAAAAAAATTCATTTTACTCAGATTTCACAGTGATAAACAGTACAGACCTATTGAGGTTTAACTCATCTTGAAAATTTTTCAAATGGGTAAATCTGGGTTTTAGCCCTTCCACTATCTGCGGACTTTTAAGTATCTGTAAAATGCAGGAAATAAGATCTATCTTACAAGTTAGAAGCAATACATCCAAGGCCTGTATCAAAGCAGACTCACATATTAAAATTCAACAGATTATATGTATTGTTATAATCTGTCCTACATAACTTACTTGTTAGTTTATTTATTCCTTTACAGTCATTCCAAACTTTATCCTCCTTATTCATTTGCAGCTGCATGCTCAGCTTTTGATAAACTGCTGGTGTTGCCTGAAGAAACACTACTGGTAATTTCCGGACATTACACCATTCACATTTTGTTAGATCAGAGGTATTTAAAATAATCTCTATAGGATCACTTTCCGGTTCTGGAGGAAAACAAATAGAAATGGAAAGGGATCAATTCTTAAGACAGCAAAATAATGAATGGAGGAAATACAAGTTTGAAGTTAAGCATATTTTGCTATGCTCTGTAAATAGTAAATCTTGTAGGAAATGAAGAAAAATCTTTTGAACTATCTTAAACAAGCTTTTATGTTTTTTTCCAAATGAAAAAGCAGGCTCTAAAAAGTTAGGCTTTAGATGTTACAGTATGAAACCACAAGAAGACATATGCCTTTGTTAAGGAGATTTATGTATAAAATAACTCTTAATAAATTTTACTAATATTACTTAATCTTTTATTCATGCAAAATGCTTTAACATAGGTAACATTTTATTCAGCAAAGATATAAAATAGCTTACCGTCTAGATGTATCTTGATAAAATCTAAACAAAACTAAAAAATAAGATAAATTAGTACTGACTATAGAATTATAAACTGCTATATAAATTATAAATTATATTATTGCTATATAAATTATTATAATTATAAATTAATACATGTACCCTAAATGATCTATCATTTGAACCTTAAGGCTACAGAGAAAGAGAAACTGAGCCATCTTCTATATGCTTAAATATAAACATGTTAAGATGAAGTATCTCTAAAACAATCTCTCAGAAAGCCAAGTTTATCTATTTTATTCAAGCATTCATAACTTTTCTTATATTACTGTTTTATCTCTTTAAACATAGAAAATTTAATATACTATCCTAAGGAACATGAGTATTCCTTACCTAGATTCACTGTTAACACCTTCTGACATCTACTACCTATCAATCTTTCTGTATATTCTCATGTCCCTTTTATTAAACTATCATAAAGCAGGAGCAAATGTATAACATTTCAGTCTCAAATCCTTCATAATTCTTAGAAACAAAGACATTCTCCTATATAACCAGTATATCATTGGCACACTTAAGAAGTCAAGATTATTTCTTCACATAAAGTTCACACTCAAAATTTTCCTAACTGCTCAAAATCGCCCTTTATCCCTGTTTCAACTTTTTCCCACTCCATGATTATGTCAAGGTTATATTAATCTCTGTCTAATACGGGTTAGATCAGAAACCTGCCTCCTACTGTTCTTCATGAAATGCCCTCCTAGAAATCGAAGCTCAATTCTGCAAAACATGTAATGTCCTAGATTTGTTTCTTTGTTTTAAAAATTAGTTTCCATATTTCTAGGAAAAACAGCACATTGAAGATGTGCTGATCCCTCCCACTGTATCACACAAAATGCACATCATGCCTGGTTGTCCTACTATTGAAGCAGCTCAATTACCTGGCTGAAGCAGTTACTGTCATGTTTTTCCATTACAAAGATACATATTTTCCCTTTTCAATTAAAAGTCTGTGGAAAGATACTGGAAAGTTGTGATGACCTTGTTCCTAATCTTTTGCTTAATGGCTTTAGCCAATTATTCCAATGTAGAGAAGATACATTCATTAAGCTTGATGCAAACTGAATTTTGCCTACTTATAGAAGTTAAAAGAACCAAACAAGGAGGCAAGTATGTTGACTTGAATTAAAAAAATAAAGTGGATTAATATAGATGAACACATAAATAAAAAGCTAGTAAAATGTTAATGGTGGAACTTAGCTGTAAAGTATCTGAATGTTCACTGTAAAATTCCTTCGATACTTCATGTTTGAAAATTTTCATCATATAATAAAACAACGTAAGGAAATATAAATTTAGGAATCACTACAACAAATTCAAAGTCTACAAATGTCATTCAATATACCTTCTAAAAACTGCATTTGAATTTAATGATACTGGTTTCACTGGAAAATAAAACATTATCTGGGGACAAGAATGGGTACCTGTGGCTTGGGAAACATTCCACCATATAGAGAAGCTGAAGTTACATAAGTATGCTTTAGAAAAATATGTTAGATGACTCCAAAATTGACAGCAGTGATGACATAAGCAATAATGACAACATAAAGCATCAGCAAAACAAAATTGCTGCATAAGATGAAGCAACTGAAAAATATGCTTAAATATTTATGTCACTTAAAAATTTTGTGTGTAACTAAATTATATACAAACATTACAAGTAGACAGTGGGATATTTCAGTAACACCTCAAAAAGTTTCTGAAATTAAATGGACTAAAAATACTGAATTTTATCTCATAAAAAAGGCTTTTTTTATATGTGGGCATACATGATACTCCTAATCATGTAAGCCATTTTACATTAAAAAAAATTAAAAGGCAAAGATATAATCTTTTATCTGCTGGTTCATGTCCAAATGCCTGCAACAACTAGTTAGTGCTGCAAAAGACTGAGGGAGCCCAGAACTCAATCTGTGTCTCTCTTGTAGGTGACAGGGACAGCCACCATCTGCTGTTTCCACAGTGCTCATGAGCAAGAAGCTAGGACTCAAAGCAGAATCAGGACTCAAACCTAGACAATTTGATATGCATGTGGGTGTCCCAAACAGCATCCTAAAACTGCTGTAACAAATGCACACTCTCATTTTACTTTTTAATAAAAATATTCACTTTTTTTCTTTTTTGAAAGGCAGAGACAGAATTTTCCATTCCTGGTTCACTCTCCATCAGCAAGGCTAGGCCAAGCCAAAGCCAGGAGCTAGTAACTCCACTGGGGTCTCTTACTTGGGTGGCAGGATTCAAGTACTTTGGGTCATCATTGGCTGCCTCCCTCCTGATAGAATTAACTCTACAGCTGGACTGTAGAGCAGAGTAGCTAGAACTCAAACAAGGAACTCTAGGAACTCAAACAAGGAACTCTGGTTCCCAACTGGGGCTTAATCAGCTCTGTTAAAATACCCACCCAGTATTCACTTTTAAATAAAATTGCACTTCAAGACAGTGCCAATTCTATCACTGAGTGAATTTAAAAGATTAAATTTTCCATGATTGAATTTGAGGTTTGGCCTCAATTTATGATCTGTCAAATTAATCATAATTTTGCAAATAAGCCATTTCGTAATAAAACATAAAGAAGTTAACCTCAAGAGAAAGATATCAAATCATCTTTTTAATTACACTAATAAAAATTATCGATTCATTACAATTCAATAAAGAATGTCTTTTGGGAAAACCCACATGCTACAGGAAAGGTTAACACCATATGGCAAATATCCAAGTTACAGTTTTGGCTCAAAAATTTCATTTAGTATTTTAATTTAAAAGATACAGAGTATATCAACACATTTTGCAATACACGTATTATCTTTTATTTTTCAACTAAATTTACAAAGTTAGTTTTACTTCACTATACTGCATAACCTGTAACTTTTCTGGGAAGAAACAATGAAATTTCAAAGTAGTTTTTGACAGGTTTGAGGCTAAATACACCAACTTTCAATTCAATGTCCTGAACACTAGAAAAAAGCTAATCATACTGAAGATGCAAGTAATGGTCTTAATGTCAGAGAAAGTTATAAAACCTATAGAGTACTCCTGGAAATTTCTGAGGTACAAAGTGACATAGGATGATATCTCTCTGAACTGTAAGAAACTAGGAAAATAATCTGTATTAAGAAGTGTTGCAACAAAACATACAAACTCGTGTAGACATTTAAATTCCAAAGTCTTACATTAATGTTTGATGGATTAGGGTTGAGACTATCCAAGTATGTCATCCAGGAAGTGGGCCCAATGAGAGGTCTTTTGGTCACTGGTGACTACCTTTGGAAGGTAAGTTCCTCAAGAAAGGGTTGGTTGTATAATCTCAGCGTGCTTCCTGTCTCTTACTGCTCCCTGGCTTACCAAGTGATCCTCTCGCCACAAGCATTTCACCATCCACTACCCTCTTCAGATGCCAGACAATAGGATCACTTGATCTTGGAAAGTGAACTGCCCACCTCCAAACTATAAGCTGAAATAAACCTTCTTCCTTCTTAAGTGGCTTCTTCAGGTATTTTAGTTAAAGTAACAAAAAGCTAACTAATAAGTTTCATAAATCCCTGAAAACAACAATATATGTTACAATGTTATTGAACAACAAAGGGTAGATACTCCATACATAATTTCATCTAAATTTCTGGGTACTTCAGAAACTGTTAAGTTTTTCAAATCCTGAGAATTTGGGAGTATCTTAATGGAAAAGAAAAATTACTGGTTTCCCATAAAGCTTTCCTCAGCTAAGAAATCAAGTAATGGGGCTAGCGTTGTGGTGTAGCGGGTAAGGCTGCCACCTGCAGTGCTGGCATCTCATATGGGCCCCAGTTTGAGTCCTGATTGCCCCACTTCTGATCCAGCTCTCTGCTACGGCTTGAGAAAGCAGTAGAAGATGGCCCACATCCTTGGGCCCCTGTACTCGCATGGGAGACCGGAAAAAGCTCCTGGCTCCTGGCTTTGGATAGGCCCAGCTCTGATTGCTACAGCCATTTTGGGAGTGAACCAATGGATGGAAGACCTCTCTCCCTCTCCTTCCCTCCCTCCGTCTGTCTGTCTGTGTTTCTCTCTATGCCTCTGCCTCTCTGTAACTCTGTCTTTCAAAATAAACAAATCTTTAAAAAAAAAAACAAGTCCACATCACATTTGCTCTTATAAACTAATCTGTATTTGTAGAATTTTTAAAATCTTACTGTATCATAATTTAAATAATAAAACTACTTTTAAACGTTCATGCTGTGATTTTGTGTCTTGTTAAGAAGACAGGGTTTTTCAAAGAGTTAGAAGCAAAAGGTCAGGGGCACTAAGTTGAAGTATCAAAAGATAAAATCTTACAGAAAATGTATAGTGTTTCAGGAAGATTAACCTACCAACAATGTTTAGAACACATTAGGATGACTTCTGATGACTAAGAAAGCTATTCAAGGAGATTGTATTAAAATTTCAACTGAAAAACACTTGAATTGGTGGTAGTAAAATAGTAAGTAGACAGGACAAGTTTCAGAAAGTCCTTTGGCCATCACGGACACTGAACTAGTCTAAAAAAGTACAATGCCTCTGGGGTGGCCACTACAGTTCAGCAATCTATTTCTAAGGGGCTTAATGCCACAAAAAAATTTTAGCAAATCCTAAAGCACTTGAATTCTCTCTCTCACTATAATTTGTTAATAAACTCTTTTCAACACTAAGCTGGTATGACAATATGCCATAACTTTCAGACATTACACTAAGATAAAATTTTATCCACTTATTTCTGATGGTGAGGCAATACAATTTACTTATTATTATTATTATTTTTTTTTTTTGACAGGCAGAGTGGACAGTGAGAGAGACAGAGAGAAAGGTCCTCCTTTTGCCGTTGGTTCACCCTCCAATGGCCACCGCGGCCGGTGCACTGCGGCCAGCGTACCGCGCTGATCCAATGGCAGGAGCCAGGTGCTTCTCCTGGTCTCCCATGGGGTGCAGGGCCCAAGTACTTGGGCCATCCTCCACTGCACTCCCTGGCCACAGCAGACAGCTGGCCTGGAGGAGGGGCAACTGGGACAGAATCCGGCGCCCCAACCGGGACTAGAACCTGGTGTGCCGCCGCCGCAAAGCAGAGGATTAGCCTAGTGAGCCGCGGCACCGGCCGAGGCAATACAATTTATAGTCTTAAAGAAATCTGAAACCTTGAAATAACTTTTATATTCTATAAACTCACATATTTTAACCTACAAATTTTAAAAAATCACGTATTAGCTATAGAAATAGAGCTTTGAATCTTGTATTTTGTGCAGTAATAAGCTGAAGAATGTACTTACAATTACAGGCTCTATTAGTAGCCGGAAGATTGTTCCTACTCGTATACTTCGACAGTTTAAAATGACACTGTCAAAGGAACTTTGGCAGCTTAAAGATACAGAATTAACTGAAGTTTCTTGAGAAACCACTTTACGGCGTTTTAGAGGTGTATTGATAATAGAATTGCCAAACTGAAAAGGACAAGAAACATTTCACTTAGTAAACAAGGGTGCAAAGTACACATATGGAAACAATCCGATATATAAACTGTAATTATCACAACATAAAAATGATCTTCCTTCAACAATGTTAAATAGAAATTATGGTTTTCATATATAGGTTGAGTATCCCTTATCTGCAATGCTTGGAACCAGAAATGTTTTAGATTTTAGAGTTTTTCACAATATTTGCATTGACTTTGGTGGTTGAGCATTCCTAATCTGAAAAATCAAAATACTCCAAAATCTAAAACTTTTCATATTTCAATGCTAAAAAGTTTTGGATTCTGATGCATTTTGTATTTTAGTTAGGAATTCTCAATCCCTAGTAACTTTATCATTATCATCAGAATAAAAGATGATCTTGGTACAAACTAAGAGAAAAAAAGTTCACTGCATTGAGATAGGCACTATTCTCATTATCCTTCTAGAGACATTTCCATGATCTATGTCATATGAAAAAATACATACCTCCACAAAATATGATCATGATATAGGACTGTTGTACATATATGATTTTGCAAACTTTTCAGGCTTCTTTTCTGACATATTTGCTGTGAATATTTTTCAATATTATTGACAGAATCTTCTAGATTTAAAGTTCTTGAGTTTTTCTAAGCTTTAAAATTATTCCTTCAAATGGGAGATATTTAGCTAATAAAAAGTAAATTTAGGAGCTATTCCAGCTGAATCTATAATAGAGGAACTGAGTCAAGGATTTGGGTGGTTTTTTCCACAGAGCATTACCAGAATGAGCACTAAGGAACCCTGGTGATTCAGTGTATCAATCTGAAAATGGTTTCTCTAAAAATTCCACTTTTTGGGAATCCATTATCCATTTAACTGAATTGTTCTATGCTGGACATTTGAGTTCTTTTCTTATATTCATTTATAGCAAACTATCCCCAATGATCATTTATGCAAAGAAATTCTGATTTGTAACTAGAATTACCGCTCAACTCTCTTTTATAAGTTATACCAACATAAACACCCAATATCCCATTGATCCAAACCCTGACCAAGATGAGACACTATCATACTTTAAATAAATTTTTGACAATGTAAACAGTTAACAAAAGTTCATTTAATTTCATTTTCACTATTTGATTATTACCTTTTTGAGTTCTATTATTTCTTTTAGCTCTTTTTCTGTTGTTTACTTCTATTTCTTTTTTTTTTTTTTTTAAAGAAAAGATGATCTATTTTTAAAGTCCGAGTTATAGAGAAAGAGGGAGAGACAGAGATCTTCCATTTGCTGCATCACTCCCCAGATGGCCTCAGTAGCCAAGGCTGGGACAGAACAAACCTAGGAGCCTCATCCAGGTCTCCCAAACACTTGAGTCATTTTCCATTCCTACCTAGGCCATCAGCAGGGAGCTGAACTGGAAATGGGGCAGTGGGGACACAAACTAGTGCCCATATGGGATGCCAGCACTGCAGGTGATGGCTTTACTTGCTATGCCACAACACCAGCCCCTCTTTCTTGTTTGTTAAGAAATTAGAAATGAAGGATCAACTTATTGACAATGTTACACACTTCACTCCCCATCCCCTTAGTATTAATCTATCAAATTCCATTTATGGTGTACAATGTTCTGCATGTCCCATTTAGTGCAAATAAATTAACCTCTTCATTTACTGTTTTTCTTAGTCCTATTCATGTATTGAAAGGCACTTCCTAACATTAATACAAAAATATTAATCCATATTTTAAAAAGTATCTTTACGGTTACTTTCCCAGTTTTTTATTTCTTAAGGTTTCTATCTTTTTGCTTAAAGATTGATTATTTTTCTATATATTTGTTTGAAAGGCAGAGTAACAGAGACAAGAGGGAGAGACAAAGAGACATTCTTCATCACTGCTTTACTCCCCAAATGGCTGCAAAGGCCAGGTCTGGGGTAGACTGCAGCCAGTAGCCAGAACCCCATCCTGGTCTACCATATAGGTGATTGGACCCCAAGTACTAGACCATCTTCTGTTCCCTTCCTAATTAAGTTAGCAGAAAGCCTGGTCAGAAGTGGTACAGCTGGGACTTAAAAGAGCACTCTGATATAGGATGCTGGTGGTCACAAGCAGCAGCTGAGCCAGAACACTGGCCCCAAAGTTTCCCCCTTAACAACCAAGTATGTTGTTAAGTATGTCCATATTTTCTCCTATATTTCTATAAAGCCTGACATACACATAGCAAATGTAACTTTTTAATATACAAGTTTTATTGTGATTTTCAGTAAAACCCAGGCACACTATAAGTATTATATAAAATTACCTTCAGGCTTTGTGTATAAGGTATATATAAAATATAAACAAATTTCATGTTTAAACTGAGGTCCCACTCCTAAGGTGTGTCATTTATGTACTTGCAAATATTACAAAATAAATTTTAAAAAGGAAGGAAAAAAATAAAAGAAGAAAAACCTCCTAAATCTGAAATACTTCTGGTTCCGAGCATTTCAAGGTAAGTGATACTGAAACTGTAGCAGACATTTTACTTTCAGTATAGTACTGTTTTTTCTCGTTAAATATTTTTACATTTAAGCCTTCTGTTTAACTGAAATTTATTTTTATACAGGGATCAACGTTCTACCAAATTATTTTCCAACTGATGTTTAAGCTCCACTAAATGAATAATCCATCCTTTTCTCCTATTCACACTGCTAAATTTCCTTCTAAAAACCTTTTTCAACCCAAAAGGAAAACATTAATCTGAACAAATGTCAATAAATCTAAAACTACCTGGTCTTTCATTCTTGCTTTTCTTGGCAATGTAACTGTATTTAATTCTGATTCTGCTGGAATGCTTCTTAGTTCACGCTCTGCTCTGCAGCTATTTTCATTCAGTGCTGCTTCTACTTTTCCAGTGGATGGTGCTGGGGAAGAACATGCTGAATCAGCAGGCTGAGGAGATATGCTCTCTCTTCTGTTAGCCTTATCAATGTCATCATCATCGTCACTGGACAAAATGACTAAAATTATAAAGAAAACTTAAAATAAAATTTGTATTTTACTTCTGTCAGCTGAAAATGTAAATTACCACAGTGGAAAATAAACCAAATTTACTTTGCAGTTCCTCCAGATCTGAGATTAATAAAAATGAAGACACAATCCAATTTGTCCAATGAAATATAAAATCTGAAAAAGAGTATGACTTGGCATCTTTAAAAAATATTATTAAAATATGAAATTGATTCTGTAGTCCATCAGCAACATTAGCAAGTCACAAGAATTAAATGTTTATCAGTAAGTCTATTTCAGAGTTCAAAAAATTTTAAGGTATGAAAATAATCTGCATGCAAACTTTTCACAAAATCGCATGTATTCTAAATGTATATGAAAGTCCATGTGACCAAACAATTTTATCTAAACACAGGAAATCACTGAAATCCATAACTGGTCCATTGAACAATGGACCAATGCCTAATGCTCAATAAGTCTTGGTGAATAAATGAACTTGGGCAAGAAAAGACATTATGAAGGTAATATGCTCCTAAACCTTGTTTTCAATTATCAAAGCTTACCAAATCAATCTCTATAGTATAATTACCCAGAATCACTCACATCACTCTTTAATCAAATCCCAACTCTTTACTCTGGCTTATGAATTTGCATAATATAGTCCCTCCTTATTTGTGGAATTTTCTCCTACTATTCTACTTATCTCTCTTTATGTTCCAGGCACACTACCCAATATTTTTGTCCCTCAAACACCACAAGCTATTCCTCATGGCAAAGCATTTCCCTTAAGACTCTGCATTTTTGTCATCAAATATTAAATATCACTTTTTGACTGACAACCCAGTCTAAATAAGCATACAGTCACTTAACTCAATCACATCAATTGATTCAAATCTGTTGTTCTTTGCTGTGAATGTATACTTGCTCACCTGCCTTTCTCTTTTACAAGTAAACTATAAGAAAGCATGGATACTATCTTATTCACAACATAGCTTCAGAACCCAACATAACTACTAACACAGAAAAAATATTCAAACATCATGTGTGGAAGAATGCATGAACTTGGAGACAATGATCTCTTCTAGTATCTTACACACAAATGCTGAGTTAATACATACTGGGAAATGAACATGTACCAGGAAGAATTATTCCTAGCATCCCCCCATTTAATATTATGCTATCTAGTCTCAAGAAGCAAATGTTGGAGGCAGGGAGATTCCAAGATGGCAGAATAGGGAACAACATAGGCTGGGGATAAACAACAAACAAACAAAAAGTAGGATGTACACTCTCAGGGGAGAATTAGAGAGAAAACCACACTGGAAATTCTATAAAAGGAAGAAGAATGCCATGGACCTGTGTGGAAGGCATGGATGTGCACAAACATGGACAAAACACACAACTGAAGCAGCTGAGAACCACAGTGGGTAGCAACTTGGAAAGAGAGATGAGACTAGACTGCAGCAACCCATGTTGATATAGCCAAAGAGAGAACGTGGCTTGAGTCTGGCATGGAGTCCTAGGGGCTAGTGGTTACCCACAGACTCAGTGGAAGTAAAAGGGAGATGTATATTTCACCCCATCCTCCCCACAATGGGCCCACTGCCCAGCTCAGAGAAGGCTGACCCCATTTTGGGATTGGGCAGCAGCAGTCTTTGTGCATGTGTACAGCAACTGGCCTTTGCAGTACTGAGGCAGTGGCAGGGAGAGAACAACATTTGGCCAGTGGCTCTTATATACACATGTGATCAAGAGATTCTGTGGAGGCCAGCGCCGCGGCTCACTTGGCTAATCCTCCGCCTTCGGCGCTGGCACCCCAGGTTCTAGTCCCAGTTGGGGCACCAGATTCTGTCCCGGTTGCTCCTCTTCCAATCCAGCTCTCTGCTGTGGCCTGGGAAGGCAGTGGAGGATGGCCCAAGTGCTTGGGCCCTGCACCTGCATGGGAGACCAGGAAGAAGCACCTGGCTCCTGCCTTCGGGTCAGTGCACCGGTCATTAGGGGAATGAACCCACGGAAGGAAGACCTTTCTCGCTGTCTGTCTCTGTCTAACTCTGCCTGTCAAAAAAGAGAGAGAGAGAGAGAGAGAGAGAGAGAGAGAGAGAGAGAGAGATTCTAGTGCAGGGAAAAATCCGTAGTCCTCATTGACTTTGAGCATGGCTGGGAGTATTTGACAGGGGCTTGGAATCCACAAAGGAGTGTGAGGTGCCCCCAACATCCCAACATACCACAGGCTCTGGGGCTCAAGCTGCCTAGGCAGAACTGGCTTGGGGAACATCTGCTCCTTAGTGGACCAGACAAGCTGGCAGGGTAGAGTGGAACCTCCACACCCAGCAACTGTGGGAGCCTGTGAGCTGAGACTTTGGGGACTCAATGGCTGTATGAAAGGGTGCAGGGTGTAGGAGGGTCTCTGGGTAATCACTGGATATGGTTCCACATGTTCACAGTTCCTTCATTGCCTGGGTGGGTCACTGAAGCAGGAACTGGCTCAGGGTGAGGACTATGTGGATCATCTGTGCAGTTCATATGGTAGTACTGGTGAGTGTTGAACCCACTGGGGACTAACACCGGAGCACTGCTTAGCTTGGAGGAGAAGGGGTAATCATACCAAGAGAGGTGACCATTCCCCCTACTTCTGTTAACAAGCGGTGATCTACCATGACCAACTTGGGTATTACCCTGGATACTCACCCTACCCTGGAGCACTGATCAGAGCTCCCAGGCCACATCCAACACACACCTCAATGAAAGTACACAGTCCACTAAGCCACAGAGGCATAATTCCAAGATAAAAGTCATCAGAGAAAAAAAAAATCAACAAGTAACTCCACAAATGCCTAAAAATAAATGTAGAAATTCAAGAAACAAAAGTAAGGAAGACACCATGACCCCCTTAAAAGAACATAAACCATTTCAATATTAGAATGTGAAGATAAGCCGGTGCCGTGGCTCAATAGGCTAATCCCCTGCCTGTGGCACCGGCACACGGGGTTCTAGCCCCAGTTGGGGCGCCGGATTCTGTCCCGGTTGCCCCTCTTCCAGGCTAGCTCTCTGCTGTGGCCAGGGAGTGCAGTGGAGGATGGCCCAAGTGCTTGGGCCCTGCACCCCATGGGAGACCAGGAGAAGCACCTGGCTCCTGGCTTCGGATCAGCGCGGTGCGCTGGCCGCGGCGGCCATTGGAGGGTGAACCAACGGCAAAGGAAGACCTTTCTCTCTGTCTCTCTCACTGTCCACTCTGCCTGTCAAAAAAAAAAAAAAAAAAAAAATGTGAAGATAGAAAGACTAATGAAATGTGGAAACACAATTCAAAAGATTAATCACAGGATTACTCAAAAGCAATCAGAAGGAAATCCAAAAACTAAAAACCATACATGACATGAATGAAAATTTCCCATGAAACTGAGATTTTAAAAATTAATCAAAATGAAATATTAGAAATGAAGAATTCAATAGATCAAATAGAAAATGCGATGGAAGGTCTTAGCAAACTTGGTGAGGCAGAAGAAAGAGTATCTGAGCTAGAAGATAATGTTTGTAGAATGTGGAGGAAACTCTGTAAAACAATGGCAAGGGCAAAGACTTCTGGAAAAGACTCCAGAAGCAGAGGCAATAAAAACCGAAATTGACAAATGGGATTACTTCAAGCTGAAAAGCTTCTGTACTGCAAAAGAAACTCATCAAAGTGAAGAGGCAACCAATAGGGTGGGAGAAAATATCTGCAAACTATGCAATTGATAAAGGGTTGATATCCAGAGTCTACAAAGAGCTTAAGAAATTCAACAATAAAACAAACAATCCAGTTGAGAAATGGGTAAAGGACTTGAACAGGCATTTTTCAAGAGAGGAAATTCAAATGGCCAACAGACACTTGAATGGCTCTCATATAGAAATCAACAAACAACAAATGCTGGAGAGAATTTAGGGGAAAAGGTACCCTAATCCACTGTTGGTGGGAATGTAAACTGGCACAGCCACTGCGGAAGACAGTATGGAGATATCTCAGAAATCTAAATATAGACCTACACTATGATCCAGCCGTCTCACTCCTGGGAATTTACCCAAACCAAAAGAAATCAGCATATGAAAGTTATTTGCAGATCAGTTCACAATAACCAAGATAGAGAATCAACCCAGATATCCATCAACTGCTGACTGGGTCAAGAAATTATGGTATATATACACTATGAAGTACTATTCAGCTGTATCTGGTGAGTTAGCAGATCAAAGTGCTCTCTCTGCCTCTCAATCTCTGTCTTTCTCTCACAAATACACAAGCACCCAGTAGGGTTGTTTACTGTCTTTGAACATTTTTTGTGGGTAAAGCTAGGACACACATAGTTTTATATATGAATAAATACATAAATTCATCCTATGTTCAACACAAATTTAAAGCTATATAATTTTAATTTATTCATTTTTTAAAAAATCTATTTATTTTAAAGCAGAGTGACAGAGGGAGAGAGAAAGAAACAAAGATATTTTCCATCTGCTGGTTCACTTCCCAAATGGCCACAATCGTCAGGGCTGGGCTAGGCCAAAGCCAAGAGCCTAGAATTCCATCTGGGTACCTACATGGATGGCAGGAGGCCCAAGTACTCTCTTCCTTTGCTTTCCCAGGCACATGAGCAGGGAGCTGGATCCAAAGCAGAGCAGCTAGGACTCAAACCAGCACTCCAACATGGGATGCTATCATTGAAGGTGGCTGCTTAGCCCACTGAGCAACAACTCCAGCCCCTCTTATTTTTGTATCCCCTTACTCTAAAAATCAAAAATCTTGAATTCTAGAGACAATAACATAATCACTGATTTGCTTTATCAGTATATGTTTAAACAACAATGCCAACATTAATAAGAACATAATTGAATATACGTAGACTTCTCTGCAATTCTGTTTAACCTCAAAATGTAACACAGTAAGGGTTTTGAGTCTTGGCTCCATTCTTTTTTTTTTTTTTTTTTTTATTTGAGAGGTATAGTTACAGTGAGAGAGATAGACAGAAAGGTCTTCCTTCTATTGGTTCACTCCTCAAATGGCCGCAGTGGCCAGAGCTGTGCCAATCCGAAGCCAGGAGCCAGGTACTTCTTCCTGGTCTCCCATGCGGGTGCAGGGGCCCAAGCACTTGGGCCATCTTCTACTGCTTTCCCAGGCCACAGCAGAGAGCTGGGTTGGAAGAGGAGCAGCCAGGACTAGAACCGGCACCCATATTGTGCCACAGCGCCGGCCCTTGCTCTATTTCTGATCCAAGCATCCTGCTGATGCGCACCCTTGGAAACAACAGGTAATGGCTCAAGTACTTGGGGCCCCTGTCACCCAAGTGGGATATATGGATTAAGTTCCAGGCTTCTGGCTTCTACTTGACCCAGTCCTGGTTGTTGGGTGCATTTAGGAAATGAACCACTGAATTGGAGTTCACTCTCTCTACCTCTTTCTTCCTCTCAAATAAAAAAAATGAACAAAAATTTCTACAGATTTTCACATTAGGGATGTACGGCCACATGGTTTTAATTTACACTGACTTGGAGTATTTTTGTGCTCAAGATACTACCTAAATACACAATTAAGTTTATTTCATTTTGAAATTTATTTTGCTCTTAAAAATTCTTTTGATCCAACTGTTTCTTGATTATATCAATCATTGATATGACCCTAATGCAAAATCCATAAAAGTGTATTTGGTTAAATCGAGCATCTATCTCTTTAACATTTACACTGCGTTCTCCTTTTCAACAAATTATATTTTTGTCTATTAGTTTTTGGTAATCTATGTTTTTAAAAAAAGTTCATTCATTCACCCATTATGGTAAATACTCCTGTCTGTACATTTTTTTATTCATTTAAATATCTGGAATATCACTCTAGCATTCAATCAATGTTTAACTATTTAAAAAAATAATATTAATATAAGCACTATCAAAGGGAATAAAATACTTACTTGGATCATTTAGGTCTGATGAGCTTGTTTTCCTTTCTTTCAAGCTTGTGATTTTGGGTATTTTTGTCCCAGGTAAAATGATTTTTCCATTAGTCTGTAAATAATTATGTCTACTATCATCACGATTCACAATAATATCAATAGGAACTTTTTCCACATTGTTGCCATAAAACTTCTTAGTTGTTAGTCCTGTGTTTTGTAGCTTCTGTCCTCCAGAATTCTGATGAATTGATGTTCTTAATAATGGTCCAGTAGATTCATTCAAAGTTATAGCTTGTCTGCAAGATTTTTGCAAATCATTACGAAAAAGAATACCACAACTCTGACATTTGGTCTGATTTTCTTTTTCCTTTCCACATTTTGGACAACATTCACGCTGTTCAGAAACCTTAAATTCCAAAAGAACAGAAGAAATAAAAAGATTTTAGCATCAAAGAACCTCCTCAAAAGTCTCAAAATTAAGTCTACCTCTTTCCCCATCATTTGCCACTATGGCTTCTATGAGATCCTGGATAAAGTTCTGTTCCTTGGGATTTACTCTCACAAGCCTGGAAAGAACTTTTTGAAGATCATCTACTCCTGCAGTCAGAAACAGTAAAGCCGCTGCCTACAATGCCAGCATCCCAGTGGGTGCTGGTTAGAGAACGGGTTGCTCCACTTCCAATCCAGCTCCCTGCTGGTGTGCCTGGGAAGGCAGCGAGAGGATGGCCCAAGTGCTTTGGCCCCTGCACCCATGTGGAGATCTTAAAGAAGCTCCTAACTCCTTGTGGCCATATGGGGAGGAAATTGGTGAATGGAAGATCTCTCTGTCTCTTCCTCTCACTGTATAACTCTTTCAGATAAGTAAATAAATCTTAAGAAAAAAAAAGAATCTGAGCAGATAATCAGGCTGGGTATTACCTGGCTTCAATATTTTGTTGTCTATAAAAACACAGGATATATTTAAGTGAAAAAAATTCATGGAAAGCTCCATGTATTTCCTTTTATAAAAATGACACTAAAATAGTGAAAGCACGCCTCCAAATTAAAATACACGAAGAGATATATCCTGAGCTATTAACGGATGTCTTCAATCAGCTAAGAAACACATATTCTGGAATTGTTTACAAGAATTAGTTACAAAATATACATCAGCTGAACTGAATAAGGTATTAAATGCTGCATGACAAAAACTAGAAAGATTTTTATCAATTTTGTGGTCTAAAAGCTAGAATACTGATACTGTTAAATTAGTTTTAGTAAAGTATAAATTTTCATTAAAAACTTACATTAAGCATAATTTCTTTTGGAAACAAAAATTGATTTAAATAATTTTATTCCTTTGGGTCAGCAGAAAACTTTCACATAATATAATAAGTACAAATCATTACCATCTGCAATTTTCTACAAATAAATAATAACCAACTATACTTGGTAAGAAGGAGCCTGTCTCTGATGAGACACCAGTGAGACAATGTCACTGGACCCAGTTACCTGAGCTATCATCTGCTGCTTCCCAGGATTTTCACTGATGGGAAACTGGAATCTAGGAGCAGGAGCCTGGACTCAAACACAGGTTCTCTGATATGTGGTATGGGTATCTTAATTCATAGGTCAAATGTCTACCACACTAAAGATTTTTAATTCTGCATCATGTGTGTGATGCAGCAGTGAAAGATGTTGCTTAGGACACCAACATCCCATACTGCATTGTCTGAATTCAAGTTCTGCTTTGCTTCCAATTGCAGTTTCCTGCTAATGTGCATTCTGGGAGGAAACAAGTGATGGCTCAAGTAGTTGGCTGCCTACCGCCTACAGGGGAGACCTAGACTGAGATCTAGACTTCTGGCTTCAGCCTGGTATAGCCCAGGCTGTTGTGAGCACTGGGGAAGTGAACCAATGGAGGCAAGACCTTGATCGGCCTCTTTGCCTTTCAAATAAAGAAATAAAAAATTTTACTAAGTTTTAATTCTATTAAATTCAAATACCTTGTTTTCTTACAAGTAGTAAATAGTTTGGAATGTCACAGACTACATATGGAAAGAAAAATAACTAACTTGTTCATGAATTGAAAATAACACAGAGACTGGCTACAATTCTTTATCGCTACTTTGAAGAAAATAATAACAACTGGCATAAAAGAATAAATGAAGGAAGATTTATTTTAGGTATTAAAAAAAATTCAGGGGCCAGCTTTGTGGTACAGCAAATTAAGCCGCATTTTGTGACACCAGAATCTCATATGAACATCGGTTTGAGTACTAGTTGCTCCAATACAGCTGAATAAGACAGCAGAAAAAGGTCCAAGTACCACCCACATGGGAGACCAAGATGGATTTCCTGGCACCTGGCTTTGGGCTGGCCTACTACCAGCCATTATAGCCATTTGGGGAGTGAACCAGATGATGGAAGCTCTAACTTTGCCTTTCAAATAAATATTTAAAAAAAAATTTTTGTGGAGAACAATATTGTGTTTCAGAATGATCCTTCACCTCAGCCAGGTAGTGGGGAAAGACAATAATGACTTGAACCAAGCTTAGGCTGGCAAGTGGGAGACTAATCACTGTCAGAGAAGGGAGTTACAAACATGCAAAGTGGGAAAAGCTAAGAAAATAGTCACTGTGTTGTGGTGTTGGACTAGAATTAAGAGTTGTCAAAGTAAACTCAAGGATTTTAACACATACATGTATTAAATATTCATACACATACAGACAAATACAGACACACACACACACACACACACACACACACAAAGACACATATTTCTTAGCTTTGTCCATAGGAGGGCCTAGATACAATGATATCTACTATCAATCAGTGTAACTAGTACCTGAATAACTTCCCTTCGTCCTTGGAAAAATGTTTGACTTTAGTGCTGAAACTGAAAATATCAGTATAGATCATCATGTTATACCAAAAAGTAGGAGGAGGCAAGATGGCAGAATAGGAAGGGAGCACATTGATAGTCCGGGGAGAGACAGTTTAATAAAAGTGGAGATACTGCAGGTTCAAGGAAGAGTACGGGAAGAAACAGCAGAAGAAACTCTTCCGGAACGAGTGATTCACAGTGGACCTGCGTGGAGAGCATGGGAGCCCACAGTTCGGGACACCAGCGGCAGACTCAACACACCAGCGCTGGGAACGCGAGGTGAGCCGAACCTCAATAGCCCGAGACACCGGCAGGCAAGCAGAAAGAGGAGACTAGAGGGAACGACCCCCGGGGGGGGGGGGGGAGTTCACTGGGCTAACAAGAAGAGAGAGAGAGAGAAAAAAAAAAGTGACTGGTACGGACACGGGTTTCTCTCTCTCCGCTCACCTCTCAAGGGCGAGCAAGACAAAGGGCAGGCGCCATCTTGGACATATGTCATAAGCAGAGCGACCGCAGGTCTGCACCGGCCCTGAGCCTAGCAGAAAAACCTGACTCTGGACGGGGCGAATTAACAGGAGATTAGGACCTAGTAAATTTGTGGTGCTACTGAACTGAGACTGTGAAAAAAGAGACGGTGGGGGAGAGAACTCACGGAATTCACCTGAGTACTCTCCAGAGACGTTACAATTCCGTAACTTTGGCAACCCAGTGGGAGACTGCAGGAGAATTTGAGCCCACTCTGAGGGCAGAACAGATTCCCTGTGTGGTCCTTGGGAAAGAGCTTCTGATCTTTGGCTCCTGTGGGTATATCATTTGCCTGCTAACTACCTCCAACTTCGTTCAGCTGTGTAGAATTACTTCCCTTTTGAATCAAAAAAAAAAGAGAGAGAGAGAGAGAGGTTTACCACGCCTAACCTGGGAGTGTCACCTTTGGCACACCAAACAGAGCTCTCAGGCCACACCCATCTCAAGCCTCTAAGGCTCCATCAAAAACAGACAGTCCACTTAATCTAGAGTCATAGTATAACAAGAAAAAGCACCACAGTGAAGAAACCAAATATCTCCAATATGCCAAATAACAAACGCAAAAACCAAGGTAATAAAAACAAGGAAGTCACCATGACGCCCCCAAATGAAAAAGACACCCCAATTCAAGATTATGAAGATGATGAGATAGAAGAAATGCAAGAAGCAGATCTCAAAAAATTGATAAGAACATTAAGAAGTTCTCAAAAACAAATTCTTCAACTACAGAAATCCTTAATGGACAAGATAGAAAATCTCTCTTGTGAAAATGAAATATTAAGAAGGAATCAAAATGAAACGAAACAACTAGTACAACAGGAAACTGTGACAGTGATGAGAAATCATAATGAAGAATTCAATAGATCAAATGAAAAACACAATAGAGAGCCTTACAAACAGAATGGGTGAAGCAGAAGAGAGAATATCGGACTTAGAAGACAGAGAACAGGAAAGGATACAGTCAGACCAAAGAAAAGAAGAGGAAATTAAAAATATAAAACATATTGTCAGGAATCTTCAGGATACTATTAAAAAACCCAACTTTCGGGTTCTAGGAGTTCCTGAAGGCATGGAGAGGGAGAAAGGATTAGAAGGCCTTTTTAGTGAGATATTAGCAGAAAATTTCCCAGGTTTGGAGAAGGACAGAGACATCCTAGTACAGGAAGCTCACAGAACCCCTAATAAACACGACCAAAAGAGATCCTCACCATGACACGTTGTAATTAAACTCTCCACAGTGAAACATAAAGAAAAGATCCTAAAATGTGCAAGACAGAAACGTCAGATTACTCTCAGAGGATATCCAATCACACTCACAGCTTACTTCTCATCAGAAACCCTACAAGCTAGGAGGGAATGGTGAGGTATAGCCCAGGTACTAAGAGAGAACAACTGCCAGCCCAGAATAGTATATCCTACAAAGCTCTCATTTGTGAATGAAGGTGAAATAAAGACATTTCATAGCAAACAGAAATTGAAAGAATTTGTCGCCACTCGTCCAGCCCTGCAAAAGATGCTTAAAGATGTGTTACACACAGAAACATGGTCATCAATATGAAAGAAGGTAAAGGAAGGAAACCTCACAGCAAAAGATCACAGGGAATTCAAAGCATATATTAGAACTTATCTTTGGCAAATGGCAGGACAAAGTTACCACTTATCATTAGTCACATTGAACGTTAACGACCTCAACTGTCCAGTTAAAAGACACAGATTGGCTGACTGGGTTAAGGAACAAAACCCATCTATTTGCTGCTTACAAGAAACACATCTTTCCAACAAAGATGAATACAGACTAAAAGTGAAAGGCTGGAAAAAGATATACCATGCCAACAGAAATGCAAAAAGAGCGGGTGTAGCCATCTTAATATCGGACGACATAAACTTTACCACAAAAACTGTTAAGAGAGACAAAGAGGGACACTATATAATGATTAAGGGATCAATACAACAAGAAGATATAACAATTATCAATGTATATGCACCTAACTACAGGGCACCAGTTTATCTAAAAG